AATTGTTCAGGTTAATAATGCTTCTTTATTAGTGGAAAGTATGTTTCATGCCCATAGAACACTACATAGCATAAAATGAAGAGAAAGCTACTAAAAAGCTCAAGATGGTGATGGGGGCATGCACTAAATGGTAACCCTTTCAAATAGCTTCATTTGAAACATTCAGAAAAGAACTAGACTTGCTCATGAAGCCAGAAACAGAGATCAAAAGGCAGCAAATAAACAAGGACCCTTTCCACTTATGGGAACTTGTATTTGGGAGATACAAGATAGAGAGCCAGTCACACTACAGTATTTGTATGTGCTGGGAGAGTTTGAAAAGGATATAAAATTAATGTATAAAATACCTAAAGTATGGTCCTTCAGTGTTTTTATTCACATCTTCTACCCACTTAGCTACATTATAGTCTCTTTTGAACCATGGGTTTAAATACCTGCAGAAAGCAATGGAAGGAACAAAGAAAGCAGAACAAGATAGAAAATCTGAAAATACACAGCACAAGCTTAGCAAGGATGTTCTTCACCCTCCAAATGCAAGTGACTATGGCAAATAAACCAGGATGGATGCTGGGGGTTATGAGGCAGTCTGTACGATGACATGAGAATAAACTCAGCTACAACGAGGCTTGAGGCATTCTAGAATGTATTCAATATTTCAGGGAAAGCCTTGGCAGGGGTTTCCCCAAGGGAATCAGAAGCTGTCTTCCAATCATAGCACTGTCAGAGGTCCCATTCACCCACCTCCAAAGTGGCTTTTTCCAGGCCACCTCTCATTTGGCTCCTTGGTTTTCAAATGATAACGATGCTTTTTGAGAATATTCAGATGGCTGCAATTCCAACCTGGTGTTTGGGTATATAACACCCCAAGAACAATTAAAAGGAGCAATGTTCTCTTTCCAATATGAAAAAAAAAAAAAAAAAAAGACTTTACATGGCTTCTGTCTCACTCCAGATAGCAGACCCTAGGCTGGAGTTAACAAGAAAGGTGCTCCGGTTGGCTATATAGAGAGCAGAAAGGGTCCCGCTCTTCTGATCCCGGAGCCTCCATACACATTAAGTGTGGGCCAAATAGGTCTCCAGGATCTTTAGGTTGGGTTCAGCAATTTAGTGTAGCTGCAATATTCCTTCTTCCTTTTATGCACTCCAGACTAACGTGTTTGTGTTTCCATTAGGAAATGGACCTCAGAAGTTGCCTTCTGAATGTCTGATCATGAATTATGTGAGTGACCGCCAGAAGATACAAATGACCTTCATTAGCATTTCCCTGATGGATCTGGCAAAGTCTCCATCGGAATTACTGCGCAAAGGAAAATTTAAAAGGTGGTAAATTGGGAGTGCAAGTTGTTGTTGTTATTGTTGTTTTTCCCCTTTGATTTGAACCCAGGGAGCCAAGCAAAAACACATCCCCTTTCAGAATGTGCTCTTGTAAAATAAATACAGATTCAACAAATCCAATGGTGGAACAATTTGGAGGTTGTACTGAATTTTCTCATTTAAAAAAAGTAACTTCTAGAAACACTACAGATAACGAAGATGCAAGCTCTATCAAACTTTGCAAGTTATTTGGAAAGAAACCAGGGGAAAGATAAAATACACTATTTGTTTGGGGTTAAACTTTACTTCTTTCCACCATATTTGGTTTTAGTTTGTAAATACATTTAAATCATGACCACATTTCTGGTTATATAAACAAAATTAGACTACTTTTTCCATAGCCCTTTCCCTCATTTTTAGCTATAACCAATGCAGCTCCCTCCTAAGAGAAGGGTTTAGTTGCTTTTTATGTCTGTAAGACCATTTTTGCTAAGACAGTGTCCCCTGCCTCGGGAACAACTTGAGCTAGTTTTGCCTTTAGCCACAATCATTGCCAACTTGCACTTTTCATAGAGATAGCCAATTAAAACTTGCGTAAAAACCCCCGCTGAGACTTTGAACAAAAAGAAAAAGTCAAAACGCAAGTGCAGCCAGAGATGAAGGCCAGTGAATGCTCCGGCCTGGGGAAAACCCGAGAAAAAGCCCATGCAGCTGTTATCAGGTGAAACATAGCCACACAGCAAACTGAGTCACCCACAGGCAGCTTCCAGGAGGAGACGTGTGTTCCTTTCACTGACAATCTTAGAAGCTCAAAGGACGGACGCCATGGCTGTTCCATGAAACCTACAGCGGCATGGCTTGGCTTGCATGTGTTGGACCTTTCCTTCTGTTTCGGGGAGCATCTCAGAATGCTGTGATCACTTCACTAGAGGTCACTGAAGAGAGCTCTCAATGGTGGTTCCTTCTGGGGATCTGCCCCTGAAAGTGTCTTCACGGTGGGCTTCCTAGCATCTCTAGGTGGTGGGGGCAGAAGTGATGGGATTTTATCGAACCGCTCTAAACCTGCCTACGTGGCTTGAGTTGGCTGGTAGCGCAACATGCAAAAAAAAAATGCGTTAGACAGGGGAGGAGAGCTCTTTGTGTTCTCCAGAATGGATAAGGCAGAGGAAAATTAGCTGGTGCTGGCTGGACCAGGACCATGTCCAAGCAGACGTTGGGGGTCAGTCAAAGATCAAATGACCCTGTTCTCAGCCAAGGAAGGGACTAGGAGGGAGATTAAGTGGCAGCCCAGAATGATGGGGCAGGTGGAGACTGACCTGTGATCCAGACTCCCTGTCTGGGGGCTGTCAGAGCCCCCTGGGCTTATGCCTTGGGATGGGACTGTCTGGGCGAGGGAGTGCCCAGGCTCAGGTGCTTGGGGCTCCCTCCTGTAAAAACACAATATATAACACAAAGTCTAAGCCAAAACCTTTTTTTACATCATGTACAACAGTGAGGAAGATGCAAAAACTTTGAGTGGAAAAAACAATACAATAAACAAGGACACTGTAGCTTGTTAATTAGCATAGTATGCATTTGTGGTGAACGTTTTAATTCATGTCCTGATGTTTCATCATCCTTTGGGATGATGGGTACTAAAGGGGATGTTGAAATAATGGACTCGATGATATCTTTTAATCTAAAAAATAAAAAAAGGGTCATTCTGCTTCTCTTATAGTCCCACAAATTATAATGTCATATCTGAAGCAAAAGGGATTATTTAGCAAATATGGAAAGTATAAGAAAAGACAGTCAACATAACTCCTGATATGCTATATATTAGGATTCTTTTCAAGGAAAAACAAAAATATATAGATAGGTATATAGTGCCCATACAATAAGGCACGTGACAATAGTGGTCAACCTCACAGACTTGGTTCCATTTAATTAACATGAGTCATGTAACCCAAATCTGAAAAGTCTGAAAAATTGAGGGAGTCCTTAATACTTCTTCCTCACAAAGACGATTCCACCATGACATCTTATTAAATACTATAGTGTTATCTCATAGGCAAGAAATTCCTTAAGGGCTATCTAGTATTATAATTTTTATCATATGATATGAGTGGGAATTCTACAGAAGAGTTTTAAAAAGTAAGTGACCATGCTAGAAAATACTGTATGAATCTTGCTAAACACCCAAGTGTTGTTTGGGTCCTAAATACATAGCTTTAATATAACACTGGTTTATTTTCACTCAGGAGTTTTCAAAGCCCTATTATATAGGAAATGCCGTTAAAATGCTAACCAGTACACCAGGGAAGTTCTGAAGAACATTTCGCAGTTTTATCTGTATTCTTGTGAGCAACTGAGATGACCTAAGGCGCTCTTTACCAGGTGACCTCATGCAAAACAAATCAAACAACATTCCAAGAGTTTATCTACAATGAGCCCTAAAGCATCCAAGCGCTTTGGGAATGTAGAAGATAAACTCGAACAGATTAGTTATTTATGATGGAGTTCTATGATGTCATTCTGGACCATGCAATGGTTATCACTGAAACCTATCTATTGTTTCTAAAATAAAGTATCCTCTAGCAAACTTTTGACAAGCCACTTACAAGACAATACCATCAGCAGGAAGGTCCAAATTTCAGGGCACTGTTTTTATTCCTGGACTGAAAAAGGCAGGGTATATGATGGAAAAGCTAACATAAGTTTCGGACAAGCAGTTAACAAACACCTGCTATTCAGATTCTTTTTTTTTTTTTTTTTTTTAAGTATTAAGGCATGAAGAGGCAAAGGTGATCCTGAAAACAATAGCTAGCAATGTAGTGAGAAAGAAGTTAAAAAAAAAGTTTAGGTAGGTCCAAAAAGTATGGTTAATTAAAACCTGGTAGCAAGGTCCAGAAGGATATTGAGGGTGTGTTTGATTCCTCGACGTGGGATAAAGGTTTGAGGAAGCTTGGTTTTGCTGTACTTTCTTAAGTGAAGAAACAACAACAAAAAAAAGTGCATGGTGTTTACCTCATTAGAAATAACTTTAAATGTAATTTCTGATCCTACACCACCCCCCTTAAAAAAAAAAAAAGTGTGGCTATCATTTAAAACAGATAGTGTTGCAATTAGTGACAATGATTCCGTTAAAGAGCAAGTTTTGGTAAGTGCCCTTTTAAATGTCCTCAGAAGGAAGATTTAAAAGGGAATACGTATTCCATTAGTCTGAGAGAATGCTTAGATTGCAGCCATGAAGCCCTCCGGGCGGTGGTTTCACACTGTGAGCAGTCTCATGCTCTAGGACGGCGGGAATTTTCGCCTGATGCTTCTAGGCTGTGTGAATACTGGGAAGAGGAAGGGTGACCCCTCTGAAATGGCTGGACCCCGGGTGATGAGAAGAAAGGAATGTTATCAAAATTCCCTTCAAAAGGAACCAAGACACCACAATGGCAGGTTACTGGAGGAAAAAGCCTGCAGCGAGGGTGGGACCCCCCACTATCAGTGAATATTGGTTTGGGCACAGTTGCGGAGATGCCTATGTAAAAGAGAAAAGCCATGGTTAATTTTAAAACGGCAAAAAGGAATTAAAAAGACAAAACCAAGACCAGAGGCATGGTTTACAGTTCTTTGATGATCTCTCGTTACTTAACCCTGCACACTAACTGCACAGGACCTTGGAATGCCTTTTTCCATTAGAGGTTTAGACTTACTCAGTTGAATTAGACCGAGGTCTAAATCGTTTGCCTCTGATTTTCTTTCTGTTGCCTCCCAGGTTACCTGAAAAAGACAGTTTATGGCTAGATTTGAATGTAAACAAACAACTGTCACATGGGTAATTACAGGGTATTTCAAGTGGTGTAATTCACAGCCAGCCCCTCCCAGAACCTAGGGCTACAAGTAGGGTACTCTGTATAGCCTTCTCTCAGATTGGTGCTACCGCATCCCATCTTTCCCCATCCAAGAAAAAAAGGAAGAAATAATAAATGCCCTCTTCTCTGTTGGGAGAAGAACTAAAGAGCATACGCGAAGGAACAAATCTTTACAACCAAGAACCACAAAAGAGAATTGGGGTTCTGCAAACAGATGCACTAGCTGTTCAGAAGGCTGCTGTATACCTTGCCAAGAGTTGCTTCGAGGTCGTCCATTTTCACAGATGTCTGAAATATGTTTTGTGTCCGGGATCCTTTCACTCCAAGAATGAGAAAGCCCATTCGACCTGAAATTGAAAAGGTGTGTATACTGTTCAAAACTACAATCAAGTGAACTTAGTTTTAAAATCAGTAAGCAAAATTTGTAAGCATTACTGTGCATTAAATAAATCAAGAAAGAAAAAAATCTGAAATGAAAGAATGAAGAGACCATGAAAGTCTTCATGAAGAAGGCAGAATTACACAACATTCAATTTAAGAAAAGTCAAATACAATGGAACCCCATTACAATAGTGTACAATGGAAAAGTATCAGCATACCGTGCAAGCCAATTACATTCCCAACAACCACATACAGCAAATTCACTTCATAGTTCAGTTATATAACCCGAGCAGAAGAGTTATAATGGGGTCCCACTATAGATGTTTCTTAATTGTAAAGCAATGGTTTTCATTCAGATATTATGAGAACATGGACTTCCAAGAGATTTCATTAAGATCTGTTCAATTGAACCGGTCAACCTTTATCAAAGTAATATTTAGGTTTTCTTAAACAATAAAACTATTTTCTGAGAATTGGCATTTTCTCCACAAATATGCCCCCCCCCCAAAAAATGTAGTACTGTTAGTTAATTGCCCAATAACCAAACTGAATCAAATGTGTATCATGGAAGTGTCTCTCACAAAGCCCATGTACCATTAAGCCCTTGTCCTGTGTCTGGCCATCTTAAATAAATTGTCTACAAGAAGCAAAACTTACACACCTACCTGTACCACATAAGAAAAGTGTTTTGACAAACTACATGTATCTAGGAGGAGTCACATAATTTGATACCATTTTTAACTACTTAAAAGTCATAACCCACTCTTCTAATATCTGGGAATTATTCAAATCAGTATTTTAAGCTCTTCTTGAGGTACTTTAGACAAGAGCACTATATTTAAAATCTTTTCCACACATCATTCCAGTTAATCGCTAATAATGTCTATTTTAAAAGGAGCCTTCTATTGATGAATGAAAATAAATGGAACTCAGCACAACTATTACACATTAATTCCCCAGATTAGGAGTTTTACAACATAATTTGCTAATTATAGAATGAATCCTATTTTGTCCAGAAGGACAACAGAAATTCTGCTGGAATCCATTGATTTCTCTATTTACCATGTTATTTAATTTAAAATTAAATATTTGACCAAGAAAATATTTATATACAGAATTTAGATAAACCTTATTATCTTAGCCAAAAATACCCCAATAAAAGGAAAAAAATTTTTGAACATCCGTCTATAGATCTGTACTCCTTGTGCAAAAACTTCTCTAAGCTATGTTATCTGAGTAAAAACAATCCTTCATACTTAAGACAGTTCCACACAAAGAAGAGTTCCCAGATATACTGATTCTTTCTTTTCTCCTTTGTGATTATTTACAGAGTGAGATCCATTGCAGAATTTTTACAGGTGATTCACTCCGTATAGAATTCCAGAAGAGATCACATTTCTTCTAAATAAACTAGAAATTCCCCTTCAGTCTCCAAAGTGCCTACTGTGCCCAAAGCAATGTACTGGGCTATCAAATCTTTTTTTTTCTATACATTACACCCCTATCACCAATTTTAAAGAAACTCTTCCACAGGAACATTTTAGCTTTCTTCAATGTGAATGTAGGTCTCATTTCCTAAAACATTCCAACTATTTATTTCTTCTACCAGTTTATTTTATTAAGCAATTATAAAGCATGCAGAATTTTAAATGGTCTTATACACCCTAAGATCCTGGAGCAAGAATATAACATCAAAGTTTAAGACATATAAATAATATATTAACCCCACTTGTCCTATTATAAAATTCAGGCAAATATTAAATATACTTAATTTGGCAACCGTACTCTAAATTAGAAAGTCTAGAAATAATCATTCCAGGAATAAAAGGCAAAATCATAATATTCAAATATATGATTCACAGAGAAGAGATCTTTTTTTCACAGCAAGCTTAGCTTTGGTATATTTAAAATTTAAAAATATTCAACGCAGCATTTATAGTACCAATTTAACAACTGCTTTACTGAAGCATGACAGTAACCTTTTTCTTTGACTACCCAACATGACATAAAGCTCACCATTTAAAATGTTATAAGTTACTATGTATAGTTTCTTAAGCCATATAAGAGCAAGATTGAAAAACCCTAGGATTTCTATGTAGATTTAGGATTGTTATTGGTTTGGTTTAGTTTTAGTTCAATTTCTGGCCTGATTTGCTTAACAAGTGGTTCTGAGCATATGGCATTTGGAAGCGCAGTAATCAAAGAACAAAGGATACTATTTTTTAACATTCAAGAAAGAAGGAAGAAGTAATCAAACCTGCTGCAAAATAATGAAATGTTCTGACTAATGGAATAATGTGTGATGGAACAGGTAGAAATCTGAAAATGCGACAGAAAAGCAGACCTCTTCTTAGAACTAGATGCTGAGTTTGTGCTGACTCCAGGAGGAATGTCGCTATAAAAAGAGTCGCCATCTCCAGGCTTTTTTACATAATCTCCCTGGGGTAACTGTCTAAGGCATAATAAACATTTCAGAGTCAGAAAACAAGACACACACATGAACACAGACATATACAAATATTCTTTTCGGAAAAAAGAGGTAGGGATAATGATCTACATGAATCAAATCTATAACAACATGTAAGATTATATTTAATAAATGTGACAAGTTAAGTCATTCTAACTGTAGAGGTCAGAAATGCAATCAGTGAAGTCTATACAGTCTGGATGAATAAAGCCTTGCTTCAGGAGAAAAATATGGAAAGATGAAGTTTTTCATTGTAACTTTATTATACTTGGAGATGTTGACTGAAGTTTTGTCTAAAAAAAAAAAAAATGGTGCTGAAGGAAACATGTTGGGACAGACCATCCTTGCCCCAGATAAGGCACAGTTTTTTTCACTGTGGTCAATAAACTAGTCATGATTTCCAAACATTATATAATGTAACCTCAAGACCAATTAAGTCTTAAAATAATGGAGGGATTTCTAAGCCATTTTCTATAATTTAATCCAAATAAATTCTTATTAATCTGTTCAATCTGGAGCTTCACTGTTCATTTAGGAGAAATAGGAAGAAACTGAAAGAGATTCCAACACCAATCAAAAATGTAATTCTATAACTACACAGTAGAATATGTAAAGGGAGATAATTCCGCAAGAGGAAGAAGGGGTTGAAAAATAAATGAATTCTTGCTGAGACTATAGGAAGATACTTATAGGTAGTTGGTGGGTGACCTCGGTTCTCTATCTCTACTGTAGAAGGAACACAACAAAGGAAGATCCATTTAATCTGTACTGTTATTGACCCCACTTGCTCTGATTTTGAATTAACTAAGGTTGGAACAGATTTTTATTACTTTTCCTAAGGGAGGAGGGTAGAAAACTCTAGAATGGACCACCTAGTCAACCTCAATAGCTAATCTGATCACCTGCCAATGCCTGGCCCCCAAAAAAGCCACCTGCATCCAAAACTTGATTCAGTTCCATTCGGTACCCTTGTGGGAGGCGCTGGATTGAGAATTTTAAACAGTTACGCTTCAATAGGTCTCCAACAAAAGCCAAATTTGCTAACTCCTTTTTCTACTTGGTTTTTCCTTAGTAAGGATGCTTACCTTGGGTTACTTGCTGATGCTAAATTCTATCTTAAAAAATGCTACTTTCAGATGTTTGCTTGCTTGTACCAATTCCTATTCTATTTGAAACGTTGACAACACTTGGTCATTTGTTCTTCTGAATTACTTGAATACCTCCCTCATATTATTTCAATCCTATATACTCACACATTTCCACAAATCTAAAAAATTTTTCAACCCATAGGAAGCACATAGATTAATTTGTGTGATCCTCCCCTTTGAAGAAAGTCAAATTTCTCATTAGATTTGTAAGACTAATTTTAGAACTCTGTGATACATATTCTTTTGAAATATTTTTAACCCCTTAAGTGGCTTCAGCTCATCATTGTAACTTTTTTCTTTTTCCCAGTATATTATGAAACATTAATTTTATACAAAAAATAGTACAATTTCCCCATATTCACAGTGTTAATAATACAGGACAAATGATACATATTGTTATGCAAGAGATCTTTAATCTCTGGAATCACATTTTCTGCCTTGCCTCCTATGAGTAAAACATTCTGTCATGCTTGAAAAAAAAATGATCTCAAGAAACTCAGAGTTCTGTATGCCGCCTCAGGGTGGAAACTTTCCTTTTGGATCATATTAATATTTATAAAAGAATGCCTTCAACATCATTTCCAACAATAATCTTTATAGTTAACAAATCCTTTTTCTCATCATCACCTTTAATAATAATCTGTATAAGCTGATAAGATGTGTCTCACTAAATTCAAGTTAAATGAAGACAAATTCCAACTACATCTGACCTTTCCCATTAATCTATCCCCCAAATTACCTTTTCATTACGTGGTTCTGGCACTCAGGCATTTACCAAGGACTCCCTTGGCTGAGGCTGCAGGTTTAAATGGACTACCTCTCACAAGAGATGGGCCTTGTTTTGTTGCTGGTTTTGTTTTGTTTTGTTTTAACTCTGCACATTTTACCACTCCTTCAGTGTAATTTCTCTGCAGGGCATGGTCATCTTTCACACAATGCACAAAAATTCTAAACACCAAACATATCATAAACCATGGGCTTCAGTCAAGGGGTTGGAAGGGAGTTTAAGCTTAATGAACTTCTGGGGTGTGGCCTTATTTTTATTGTGATGAGCAGATTAGATTCTTAGCTATCTCTATTAGGAAGACTCCAAAATACAGAAACTACTCTGTATTCCCCTTAAAATCACATAAGAAATGCATGTAACTTTCTTCACATAGTAAATGAATAACAATGTTAATGATAGGTTAAGAATTTTGTTAAAGATCTCTTAAGAATAATATTTAACATTCTTCACTGTCCAGTGAAGAATCTTGTATCCATTGCAGATTACAACAAACTTATTTCTTCTTGTTTAAACTTTAGTGAAGATAGAGAGTATCAGGTCCCCATGATCAATAAAATAACATTTCATCATTTCTTATATGACTAAATGATTCTTTAAATTTTTTAATTAAATTTATTTTTCTAGTCTTTATGGCTTTCTTCTTAACTTTTTATCATCTCATGGAATTTCGACTCATGAAGTGATTACTACATTAGGTGGCCTGACCAGCGCCAAGTTTTGTCATGGGATCATTACCTCATATTTCCCACGTTATATGAAAATATTGTAGATACACACATGAATTTTTATAAATAATGACTAAAATAAAAGCTTTTTTAACTAAATTCTTTTTCCTCAGAAAGGAACCCTGTTATGAGGGTAGTCTGGTCTTTCCTTAAAGGGTCCAATGAACCATAATATTTAACTTTAATCCTTACACAGACTCAAAATGAGAATACAATGAAAAAAACTTAATTAAGTCTTAACCTTAATGCTGAAGGAGGCATTTCTCCAATGCTTTGTTGGTGTCTGGGCTGTCTGATATTAGAATTGTTACTCTACTGTTTTAAGAAATATTATATAATGTGTACCAAGTCACACTGACAGATGCATGAATATCACTATAATAATAATAATAATAATAATAATATAAAAACAAACTAAGATAGGTTTGAAAAAAAGGAGGGAGGGAGGGAGGTTCACAAGCAGAAAATAAACTGGCTAAAACAGGTGAGAGAGAAATGAAATGGGGAAGGGGGTTTCTGCTTAAGGTACAAATCAATATGATATGATCTAATTATTTATTCTATTTCACATTAATCATAATGATGTGTGTTCATTTCAGACAAAGGAAGAGAATATTTCAGCTGAATATGGATGTTATATAAATCCAAGTTCAAATTGTTTTCTTATTCTATTGCTACTTGCAAACCGATCTGAAAACTAAAGCTCAAACTTATAATTCTTGTATCAAAGTATACAGTTGCTGGGGTGCCTGGCAGGCTCAGTTGGTGGAGTGTGAGACTCTCGATCCTGGGGTTGTTAGTTAGAGCCCCATACTGGGTGTACAGATTGCTTAAAAATAAAGTCTTAAAAAAAAACAGAGTATACAGCCGCTAAATCCTAAAGCAATTATGATAGCAACAGCTGAAAATAATATGGAAGACTTTGTCCCTGAAAATTTTAAAGAAAAAGATCAGCCATCCTTCCAACTACATGATGTATAAAGAACTCTCCATGGTTCCTAGGTTACATGGTTCTCCCCTTCATAAGTTAACACTGGCAGATTTAAAGTGATACTGTTCATGCATGGGGTTCTGCCTCTACTGTGTCCAGAACGGGGCTTCTGTTTTTATTAAGCAGTTTGTAAACAAAAAGAAAACAAAGGTTGTCAGACTTGCAATTAAACCTATCATGCCAGGTTATCAAGCTCCTTCACAGAATTACTTGCCTGACCCCTCTAATAATTTGAAAGTTATGCCTAATGGCATTTTGAAGCCATTATATCATTAATAAGAATCTGATAACTGGCTATATGTTTAATATGGTCTTAATATAGTGTCAGAGCAAACCTTTATGTTCATCCATACTTGTACCAGGTCAACCAGTATGTGTGGGCCTCATTCATGTGGATGAATGCTGGCTTTCTCTGTGAGAACAACCACATTCACCTCCTTCATTTAGAGATCAGAGAAACACAAAGTCTTCAGAGACCACATACTAAGAACTTCCCTCACTATGATGCTTCACAGATTACACAGAACTTTATCTGATTTAAAAGTCGTGGGAAATTTAAGTGATTTCCCAAGAAATCACATCCTAGCAAGTGAATTTCTGATTCCTTGTCACTTAGTCCTCCCACCATGGAACCTCAAAGGAAAACCTTTAAATTTAAAGACAAAGACAACTCAAAATTCTTATTTCTATTTCCTAGCATCCTTTGGAACTGAACACATCTTTCTGAACATCTGAAAATATTTTTATAAGATGATACATTTCTTAATGCATGCTTTGGTCCACTGGCCTTTCCCTACCTGCTCTATCACCACTGACAAATATTCTCAAAAAGGAAAATCCTTCAGAAGGTATTTATTAAAGTCCATTATTTGCTACTTCTTCATTTTGAGAATTATTCTACAAGTCTCAGACTCATTAGCTAGAGACAAAGGCAAAAATAAATAAATATTGTAATGAAATATAGCAAAATACATAAAATAAATACCTGTCGAAGATGTGACCACTCTCAAAATATGAACTAGATTCCAAAATAGGAACCAGATTGATAAAATGATGACTCAGTAATGCCAGGAGGCATGAAATTATATCAAACACATAAAGGAAATTCTTAATGCAAAAAATGTTCTCAACTGTACCTATGTAGATATTGAGTTAGAATAAGAAGTTGGTACACAGTTTTGCATATTAACAATTTTTTGTAGTGTGGGCAATTCCCTTATTCTGGATAGTACTCCAGGTGAGAATGTGTCTTAGAGCACTGCTTTAGGTTTGCTTATGTGGCTTATATTTGTGACATTTTACTTTCCTTTTTATATGTAAGGAATATTAAATTACCTTATAGCCTTAGCTACTACGGACATGAGGCTGAGTCATCAATATTTGATCTTATTAGCCTAATTTTGTTTTTCATTGGAGAAAGCCACCAAACTTAGATTTCTGATATGACTGATCAAATTCTATCCAAGAGAAAGCTTAAATGATTCCAGCTCTTCTCCAGTGATTCTAGACACAGAGTTTTAAACATGTCAAAAAGAAATGTAGTTGTTTTTAAGACTTAAGTCATTTTGTCTCGGGTTTACTTTTTCCACTAATGACGAGTTAGTTAGTTACCCCAGGATTGGATGAATATTTTCTAATATCTATGCTAAGTGACCAGGATCTTAGTTGGTTCAATATGAGCACATTTATAGAGACTGTAGACACTTATGGCTAAAGTCTTCTTACAGGAATTTTAAATTACAACATGGAACGAAACAGAAAAGTAAAGTTCAAAATTTTAATTTGTGAAAAAATGAAAGCTGGTTAGGGCCTGAAAAAGTGTTATCATGTTTATTACATCTTATTTCCAATCTGTCTGACATTTGATGCAACAGTGGGGAAAGTTAAGTATGAATCTGCACAGTTATCTTGAGTACAAAACTAGTATTATATGATGCATAAGACCCGGTCTTCCAGGATATTTTAAATTTTTTGTATAATAGCTAAGAGCAGTAATAATTTTTTAAATGTGAAAAGTGAAGGGGATATCTCAAAATGGGGTAATTTAGATTCAGAAAAAAATAGGCATTTTTATAAAACTACATGAGTGCTCTTCTTTTTATGCTGATGGTTAAACATAGATTTTAAGGTTATGATGAACAGGGTGTCTGACTTTACAGCCTTTACACTAGAAAATGTGAGATTCCAATAATGCAAATTATTTACCTACCCAATTACCTAATCAGTACAAAAATATTCTCTTATGCAGAGGTAAACAGGCCCATCAAGTACCAGGACATTCTCCTGATCCCAGCACTGTGCCCATATAAATTTTATCATTTTTGTATGGAAGTTATTAATGTAACAATAGTAACAAATAAAAAATAAATTCTTTGAGAAAGCACTAGGCAATAAGATTGCTAAAAAGATGAAGAAAAGCCAATTAACTAATGTAAACACAGGTGATTCCTTAACATAGAGGAAGTTTGTTTTAGATGGAAAAAAGTTCATTTCCATATACATTACTATACATTACTATAATATAGCACAAGTAACTTCTATTATTATGGTACTGTTGGAGGAAAGAACCACTAAAATTAAATAATGATAGATCTATTTTTAAATAAATAATACATTCCACAGCACCATTATTAAAATTATCGTTTCAAAGTCATGAAAACAAGATTGCTCTATGATCACAGAAACAAAGTCAACATTTATAACTTTTATAACTGCATGTATGAATTCCAAGGATGTTAAAAGGATTTAAACCTTTCAGTTATGTGTTCAGATTATTCTCATCACATACCTCTGTTCTCGATAATTTCTTTTCATGGACAAGAAGAAAAGGAAAAAAAAGAAGAATTAGTTACCTATGGAAGTATATTCAGAGAGAGCAATAAACATGAAAGGTCTAGCATTCATTGGAAGGTCTCCACTAGAGGATTTCTGAATTGCAAAACTAAATGGGGAATACAGGGTGCCTGGGTGGCTCAGAGGTTAAGCAACTGCCTTCAGCTCAGGTCATGAACCTGGTGTCCCAGGATCGAGTCCCACATCAGGCACCCCGCTCGGCAGGGAGTCTGCTTCTCCCTCTGACCCTCTCCCCTCTCATGTTCTCTCTCACTTTCTCTTTCTCTCTCAAATAAATAAATAAAATCTTTAAAAAAGTAAAGTAAAATGGGGGATACAAACACAGTCTCTCTTTCACACAATACACACACACACTCTCTCTCTCTCTCTCTCTACTTCATCTTTAGAAGCGACACCAAAGGGTTAGTGACAAAATTTTCAAATAAATATTTTTAACAGCATAAATAAGCTTCAGTTATGAAAGAACACCTGTTTTCCCAATATCAGTTGTACCATATTAAACATTTAGTTAGTAATGTTCTAAAGTCAATCTTATTCAAGTTACTTCTATAAATTAACCACTTTCATAGAAATAAAAATCATAATTCATTCCTTTTGGAATATATATCCCAAACTAAAGCTCTTCCTAAGAATTTCAAATGGGAAAACATGATTGGACATGGGAACATCTTATTTCATCAGGTAGGATATATCAGAGTGAGTTAATTCACAGCTGTTAGGGACCTTCTAAGTGATCACTACTTACTGAAACTTTACATTGGAAATACTTTGTTCAAACTTTAGTCTCTGTTTTTCATTTGGCCATACACTAAAACAAAATTACATGAGTTTTTAAAACAAACCAATATTAAAAATGTGTTCTAGAAGGTGTAATAGTAAGGCACCAGTGACTTTTAATTTACAACTCAAAAGACTTAATTTTTAACTTTCTATCGTGACCTAATTAAGTGTTAATATTCTGAAGACATGTTAGAAAGGTCAAGCAACTGAGTACTGGGCTCCTTCCCTCCCACATCAAGGATAAAGTTTCCATATCAATTTTGTTTGTAGCACCTTCATCTGCCTATCTATTTCATACACCCTATAAGTATCTTGGTTTAATAATGAGCTCATGAGAGTAAAAGTGCCAATTCGTTATTTATATTTTTCATAGTTGAAACCATCAGATTGGGGGAGGGGGAGAATAAGTCCCAGACTCTTTCTATTCAGTATGTTTTACTTTTTATTCCCTCCATCTGATTACCTAGTGGTCCATCAGTTCCAAATAAGTATTCCTCATTGCCTATTCCGCCATTCCCTCACTCCAAGGCTTGGAGAACGGTAGAAAGTTTAATTGGAAGCATTAATAAGGAAACGAGTTCTCAGGTGAATTTCATGAATTTAATTCCTGTATTAAAACTTCTACACTTCCGTTCTATTCTTAAACATACTCTGAATTAAGTTTAGTAGCACTAAAACTTTCATCGCTCAGGTTCAAATTTATGAAGAGGATTCTGTGGTATGAATAAGATTTGTCTTTTTCCTTAGCGAATATGCAAAGTACATATATTCAGAAATGAAAAAAAAATGGTAAAATCTCAAAAGAATTTCATAAAAATAAGAAATGATAAACAGAAAGAAGTACTTTAATTCTAATCATTAAAACAAATGGACACAGGTAATTTCCTTAGCAAGAGAAGAAGTTTAGATTTCATATTTTCTGAAAGGTAATTTTTTTCCAAGATTGCAAAAACAAGAAATACCAATTTGCATCAGTAGGTGGCAGAAAATCACACACAACAGAACTAATAATTTTGCCTTCCCCTTTTCACATGACCAATGAAACCACTGAGCTACTTCAAAAAGATCAAAGCTTGTGATGGCAATTACCACCCAGGTCTTAAATCAGAAAAGTCGAGGAAATAGCGTAACTCCAAGATGGGGCTAATTCACCCAAGGTGTGAGGCGAGGTCAAATGATAAATATTCAGAAAAGCCTTCCTTTCAGACATGGAATTTTGTAACTGCAAACATTATGATGAAATCAGCCCGTGCAAATGGAAGTATGCAAGAGAGCTAATGGCCTGCACATCAAAGAGGCTCATAGGTACTGATCATCTATGAGCTGGTACAGGGCTAGGTACTCATTTAATCAGGGCAAAGCTTTCCGACTGCTGTGCCCTCTTTTGCTGCTCGATGCCATAGTTACCATGTTATGCTAAACTTTACTGTCTAGGCTGTCCATGTTACTTGTTAATAAATAGCCTTCCACAGATGCCCTCATGTATTTTAATGCTTTTAGCATACAAAGTTTATCTTGGCAGTAAGCTAACTGCTCTTTCTTTTCCACCAAAGAAACTCTTTCAGGGTTCTGACTTCACAACAAACAACAGCCATATATACTTTTAAAGAGATTTCCATCAAATGAGTTGGTTTAAGACCACGTCAGGTAACAATAATAATAATAATAATAATAGCACATAATTACATAGTGCCTAGTCTATTGAACAGTTTGTGGTAATTTTGAAGCCTAAAATATCCTAATTCCCAAGTCTGTCAGTGAAGTAAGTCAGGTGTATGGGGGAGGGGGGGAATACTATAAAATGGGGTAATGGCGAGAATGCCTAGAAAATATTGTAGGCCCTTCAAATGGAGAAAAACCCTAGGACCGGGGTACTGAAACATCATCATGAGAGATCAGCAGAACAATGATTTTAAGTTGATTTTAAGTTGATTTTAAGTTTTAACAGAACTCAAGGTTCACCATATTTAAGTTTCAATTTATTAAACTTAAATAAGTTACTTGAATACTAAGGAAATTTTTTACATTGTTAATATTGAAGTACTTCAAAAGGAAACTGAACATATTCAATAAGTAAGTAAGTTTGGAAAGTCTGAAGTCATCTCCTTAGCTAAATGCTCAAGGGGTTTCAGTATTCAAAAGTTATGTAATTTGTAACTTTTTAAAAATTTATAAATAAGAACCCAAAACTTCTAAGCTGAACTTGAAGCTTAAGAATTACATATTAAAAGTAGTAAAAGTTGACTCTGAATGTGAACAAATGAAGTCTGAACGGTATTTTCTTCACACACAAACACTCAATAGTTAACAAACAATAGTGCCCCCTTCGTACTGGGTGTGAAGAGAAAGAGGCTCGGCCTCTGGCATGATGCAGGGCCACAGCAAGTACTCGGTCACAGATCCGCCGCTGCTGTTCCTGCTGAGAACTGATGGTGTCACTGCTGTTGGTACTGAAGCATTAGGCTCCCTACGGGACCATCTTGCCTAGATCTCTGGGCGTGGGTTTAAGTCAAGAGAGCCCGTGTCACTCAAGAGCAAACGAACACAGCCTTCACATAAGACACGATTTAGATTGGTTTTACTCCACGTAACGGTTTTAAAACAATATTCTTTACTTTTAGAATAGAAGGGAGTTACCTCAAAATCTAAAAACATAGTAAATTATTATTACCTCTAATCATGCCAAGACTATTCACTGATTGCCTGTGGAACCAGACTGATTTGTATATTTATCCAATGATACACAACTTTCTAGGTGCTTAATTAATTTAAACGAAATGTTTTAAAGTCTATTTTGATAGTAACAATACTGAGACATTTCACTTACTTATAACCCCATGCAGTTATTCCTAATATGAGGGCCAGCACTAAGATGGTGCCAGCGATTATGCCTATTATGATATTGGTACCAGCGACACCTACGAGGGGAGAAAGAAAACAATGAAGATCAGTGTATATAATTGAAAGTTTGATATAAAATTCTTTCAGGAACATTATTCCCCATAGTTGTAATCACCACACTAACAAAATTATTTGTTCTACAGAGTGGGTATTTTTTCCCTTTAAATCTCAATCTTAGAGAACACGTTTTTAATTTAATTTTCTTGAGCGACACTTGACATAAGGTTGCATTCGTTTCAGGCGTACAACATAATGATTTGATATCCATACACACTGTGAAGTAAAAAAGCGGGTGTTTTTTTAAAGGGACAAAAAATCAAGCATTAATTAGCAAATCCGCATCAACTATTTGTTTACATAATTTTTTGTCTACATCCCCTTTTCATTCTTTTTTTTTTTTTAAAGATTTTATTTATTTATTTGAGAGAGAGAGAATGAGAGAGAGAGAGCACGAGAGGGAAGAGGGTCAGAGGGAGAAGCAGACTCCCCGCCGAGCAGGGAGCCCCATGCGGGACTCGATCCCGGGACTCCAGGATCCTGACCTGAGCCGAAGGCAGCCGCCCAACCAACTGAGCCACCCAGGCGCCCTCCCCTTTTCATTCTTGTCCCAGTATATTTTGCGCAGTTTTATTTCCCATGTAATTTTCTGGAAAATAAGATGAGGTCACTGAACTACTAGAAGGAAGAGTAGAAAATAAAAAGCAAAGGGAGAGCCGACCCTACTACACTGCCATAGCACTCTCTGGATAGGGGCGTGAAGAAATCCATGTTCCTTCTGACCCTGACCTCTTGCTCAGGAATTCCAGAAATGTGACTGTCCATATCCTTCCATCCTGACCACTAACACAAGGTCCTTATCGCCCTCAGTTGTATGTGTGATACTTTGTTTCTCAAATATAAGCTCCTTGAGAGAGAAAATGTGTCTACGGATTTATATAATGAGTGCTCAGGTGATCCAAGCACTGGGCTTATAGTTCCCAGTTGGTAATGGTGGCTGTGACATCCTAGAGAAGGAAAGAAACCAAAGGAAAAGAGAGTGTGTGGCAAGGCAGAGATTGGTGCTGGCCAGGCACAAGAGCCAGGCAGCAGCAGACCGGCAGAGGGCCAAGGCGAGGCCGGCGCTCAGGACTCAGTAATGGCACTGTGTGTCAGCATCTGCTGTCAGGAAGGCAGAGATGGAATCCTTAGGGGGATCACAGCAGTGTGAGTGACCCCATAAGTCAAAGGCTCGAGCAAGAGACTCAAGGGAGGGCCCAGGAGCAGAAAAGGCAGATCGGAGGCCTGGCTGTTTTCCTGATAATGATTTATACCAGATGCTTAAATAACCCAGATCTGTTTCACTCAGAGCAGCTCAGGTCTCTCTTGGTCTGCTGCACTCCCGAAGCATCTTTCTAGATGTCAACAGTTTGTAATCACGGGCAACTAGGGCAGATCGCAAATCCCCATGACAGAAGTGGCCGCCTCCCTGTATGGGAGGCCTCGGTAAGTCGTGTCCTACGGCAGGGCATCTGAGGAAACCGGGAGAGCCCACCCTGCGCATGCCCTCTGTGGGATGGGGGGATGCAGATGCCAGAGGACCCACTGGGGCACTGGGGTTTTCTTACTCTAGGGCCTAGCATATCTGCCTTTTCTTCTTTTTCCTCCAGCGATTTTTACAGGGATCAATAAACTTGGAGGCTTAGCCTGGTTATTTCTAAGTAATGATATGACTTCTGACGAGTCACTTAAATCCAGGGACCTGAATAGCCTCATTTCTGCATTCACTGCTGAAAAAAGCTCCATACTACCCTTGCTAAGACTGAGGACACCAGAATCTTCATCATTCACTGACTTTCCTTGCTAAAATCATCGTGGCTAGCATTTTTAACCTGTCTGGATGATTACAATGAACAGGGATATGAATGGACTTCAGGATTTGAGCATTAATTCTCAATCATGGAAGATGATAAAATAGTTTAAAAGGGGACATCTACCTCCAAGGCATGTGTTCTTACAACTATCTGCATTTAATTTCTACCTCTCCTTTTGGGCCACTGTAGCTTTTAGATCTGCACCCATTGTTTATTATCTATGTCCTTAATCCCCTTCTAGACACCTCTGCCAAGGTTACTACTTCTAGAATTACCTACAGTTCAGGCTACAGAACTGGGGTTGAATAGAGATGGGATTCTATAATAAAAAAATATTAAAGCCAACAAGATATTTAAAAGTCAATTCTTCAGGGGCACCTGGGTGGCTCAGTCGGTTAAGTGTCTGCCTTCATTCAGCTCAGGTCATGATCCCAGGGTCCAGCCCCAAGTCAGGCTTCCTGCTCAGTGGGGAGCCTGCTTCTCCCTCTCCCTCTGCCCTTCCCATTCCCTGCTCATGCTCTCTCTTGCATAAATAAATAAAATCTTTAAAAAATAAACCAGTTTTTCAAATTTTTTTTTCTATGTATTGAATCCCAAAATATAAAATTCTCTCCTTAAATTCAGACAGTTAAGAAATAGGACTACTTTCTTCATTTAAAAGAAATGCTAGGGTTTGTTGTCACCATCCGCAAAACAGAATACTTGAAAAATCTCAGTCTGATGTAGGACAAGATAAGGCTAAATCAGTAGACTAAGTTATATTCAATATTACACATGATTATAATTTAATGGAAAATATCAATTTCATACTGTGGATCCCAGTTGTATATTATATTTGAGTTACAACAATAATCCAAATGAAACTCTCTGAAGAGCAGTTCTCTCTCCTTGTGTATAAAAACTATGTAATGGCAGTAATCAAGTACCTACCATTGCCAGACAGAGTTATGCCAGTCTTTGCATCATCATTGTGAGGGAAGTACGTGCTGCAGTCTGCACCAATCCAGTGTCTGTTACAGACACACTTCAGCTCATTACTGCAAACCTGAAATCCAAAATCAGTCAAGAGTACAGGTCAACTCACTGATACAGAAGCATGAAAAATAAGCACTAATTTCTGTTATATGCCTAGAATTTGATGGTACTGAAAAATGATCAGTACTTTCTTCTAAAGACTAATTTCCTTATTTCTTTTTCAAGTACTTAAAATAATATTTTCTAGAGATCAGCAGTTAGACCCAAAGGGAATAATGAATTTTAACAGGGGAAATGAATTTACAGTCTAAAAAGAAATCAATGAAATTACTGTTTTGAATTTCATTAACTTAAATTTTATAGGAAGGAGAGTTTTAAAACTGAGCAGAAATACAATCATTTGATAAAAGTTTCTTCCAAAGAAACGATCTTTATACCAAAGTTTTATTCATCTTTTAGGAAGCATATAAGATAAAGAGCAATCCAATGAGGAAGAGGGAAGGCCTGATTGGTCTAAGAAGAAAGTTTCACAAAGCTATAGCCCTGGCACCTCAACCCAAGTGACAGAGATGAACGACCTCCACGTCATGGAAACTGCGAACCCCTCAAACAAAATGTAAGGAAAAAATTTCACATAAAATGGCACCAAATTTTTAAAAATTATAAGACAATAATCTATCTTCACTTATACGTCCAGGAAACGGAATCTACACCTAGATCTTATACTTCAACTTTCAATGGAGTGGGAAGTAGGGGAGAATTCAGCTAGGTTTAAGATCAGAGTTCTTCTGGGGCCAGGCTGTCAGTGGATAGCTTTCTGTCTTCTGTCTAATCTATGACACACATCCACATCTAAATGTAACCATAGGGGCGCCTGGGTGGCTCAGTTGTTAAGCGTCTGCCTTCGGCTCAGGTCATGATCCCAGGGTCCTGGGATCGAGCCCTACATTGGGCTCCCTGCTCGGCGGGAAGCCTGCTTCTCTCTCTCCCACTGCCTCTGCTTGTGTTCCTGCTTTCGCTATCTCTCTGTCAAATAAATAAATAAAATCTTAAAAAAAAAAAAGTAACTATAAAATATGATTAAGAAAATGGAGATTTCAGATTAACAAATCTCTGCAGAGTGACAAATATGCAGGAAGAAAAAGGTTGAAATTTAAAGTCAAAGGGCCTGGGTGTGAGTGCCCATTTCACCGCTGTCTTATCAATGGGTTTTAAGCAGGTCCAACGCTCAGTTTCCACATCACACAACAGTGACAGAGTGACAAGGACAGTGACACCAGTGTACAGGAATCACAAGAGAGTCCTAGAAAACATCTATCCAACACTCACTATGCCTCAGGCATTGTTTTAAGTATTACATATAAATTACAAGTATTAACTCACTAATTCTTCACAACAATCCTGTAAAGCACACAATATTCTTCTTCTTCTCGTTTTACAGGGGAATAAATCGAATCACACAGAGGCTAAATGAGTTGTCAAATCTCACTCAGTTAGAAAGAAATAGAGATGGGATTCAAACTCAGACTGTCTGATTCCAAGCCCATACTCTTAACTATACAATGTACAGTGCATAGACAGTATCTACTGTATTCTCATTTTAATTTTTGTTGTATATATAGAGTTACTATGAATTAAAAATACATAGGATATAATGTCTCTGTATTATGCATAATTACTGCAAATGATTTGGATATTTGCCACCTGAATTACTTGTGTCTATCAATTTATTCATTCGTTAAACAAATATTTTATTAACAAAACTGGTCTCCATGTTATATACTTCTAGATGAAGAAAACATTGTTATCATTGGCATGAATGATCAAGAAGTAATTCCACTGTTTTTGCCCTATCCCCCCAAAAAGCATTTCCCCTTAACATCTTCACACTTATTCAAGAAAGAAGACTTAGCAGACCCCTTTGTAGGAGCAGAACTACTTACTATGTGCCTTCTCTATTTTCACTTGCCATAAGAACTCCTATCTTTTGGCAAAGAGTTACAGTTGGTAAGACCTCCCTAAGAAAATTCTTGGCATATCCCTGGAGGATCTACATGGGAATGACCAGGATTGAAGGCTTACAATTTCAGGACAGGGATCCTTTACCTCAACTGGATAATATGACCAGTTCAAGCCAAGAATGTAGGTAGGGTTAAAAAAAAAAAAAATCATAGTGCATGCCAAAAGAAAAAGAAGCAAAAATTATTTTATTAGTATAGGAATTCCTAACAGAAAATGACCAGGGGCGGCTGGGTGGCTCAGTCGTTAAGCGTCTGCCTTCGGCTCAGGTCATGGTCCCAGGGTCCTGGGATCGAGCCCCCACATCAGGCTCCCTGCTCGGCGGGGGGCCTGCTTCTCCCTCTCCCACTCCCCCTGCTTATGTTCCCTCTCTCACTGTGTCTCTCTCTGTCAAATAAAAATAAAAATAAAAAATCTTAAAAAAAAAAAAAAAAGAAAATGACCAAACTGTGATCACTATCGGGGCATGTTTATTTAACTTATAAACTTACTTATATAGGACCTACATTATCAGATATGTGACTGAAAAAATAGAATTTTGTCTTTTAAACAATGCTATTCTTTCTATTCACCTGTGATAAACGCTTCTCTGACTTATTCAGTTTTTATTTCTAGGAGTTATCCTTAGCTGATACGTGCTTGGTGTGGCTACAGCAGCTATTTATGATCTGTTCTAATTGCTCAGTGACTGGACCATATCAGTTGTTAAATATTGTGGCCAATGCCCCTTTTTACACCCTTTTTAAAGTCCCATTAGAGTTTATTAAAACTTCTCTCCCAGGGACTCCTGGGTGGCTCAGTCGTTAAGCGTCTGCCTCCAGCTCAGGTCATGATCCCAGGGTTCTGGGATCAAGTCCCGCCTCGGGCTCCCTGCTTGGTGGGAAGCCTGCTTCTCCCTCTCCCACTCCCCCTGCTTGTGTTCTCTCTCTCGGCGTCTCTCTCTCTCTGTCAAATGAAAAAAAGACAATAAAAAAAAACAAAAAAAACTCCTCTCCCAGATCACTTGTAGAAAACTGGCATTATATTATATGAGATCACATTAACATAATGAGAAAGAAAATTGGAAGAATTTGATTAGGAAGATTATACTTTTTCTTATTCCCAGGCTTGCACAGATTACACAACAGAAATATTCCAATGACTATGACCAAAGACCTGTTTACAAGCCAGCTAGAAACATGGATAAGCACATTTTCGATTTTTACAAAATAAGCAGGTTAGGGTCATATCTATTTCTGCGATATAAAAGAATAGAGGAGTTTCCCTATGGCAAAGTACTGAATACTTACTCCATTTCCTGAACAAACAGTGCCTTCTTTATTGCTTAAGCAAGTACTAAAGTTGAAGGAAGCCACAGGAAGACACCTGTGTTCTAAGCACATCATTTGGGGACCACAAGGTGTCCCATCTTCCACATAGCCAAGATCGACATCTTCTTCAAGCTTCACATGCCCACCACTAAAAACAGAGAGCAAAAAGAAAATAGGATTCCATTAATTCACATTCATTTTGAGAATCTGCTTAAAAACTAAAAAGTGGGTTAAGTGTCTGACTCTTGAGTTCAGCTCAGGTCGTGACCTCAGGGTTGTGAGTTCGAGCCCTACATCGGGCTCTGGGCTAAGTGTGGAGCCTGCTTGGGATTCTCTCTCTTCCTCTCCCTCTGCTCCTCCCCCCCTGCTAGAATGCACACACACACACTCTCTCTCTCTCACTAAAAAACACTAAGCTAAACTAAAAAGTGGGCAATAATACTTTCTCTATTTTTCTATTTATTATCTAATAAAAACCAATAGCACAACCATTTTCAACCTCTAAATGGAGAAAGCAATTGAATCTTTTGATCTGATTCTTTCAGAGATACGGATATATTTTAGGATTTAAACATAATTATTATAACAAGGGACTGAACTGAAATAGCTTTATCATTTTGCCTTGGCTTATCATGTACAAGTCAAGTGAGTCATTATTACTAGTATTTGGTTTGGTAAGTGGGTAGGTCTCAAGATTTCAAACATGTTTAAAACAAGGATGAGAACTGGTTTGGGTTTACATTTCCCAAGAAGATTGCTAATTCAAAAATGATAATTGAGGGCGCCTGGGTGGCTCAGTTGGTTAAGCGACTGCCTTCGGCTCAGGTCATGATCCTGGAGTCCCAGGATCGAGTCCCACATCGGGCTTCCTGGCAGCAGGGAGTCTGCTTCTCCCTCTGACCCTCTTCCCTCTCGTGCTTTCTATCTTTCATTCTCTCTCTCTCTGAAATACATAAAATCTTTAAAAAATAAAATAAAATAAAAATGATAATTGAGAATGGCTATATTATTAACTTCACTATTCAATATAGCAAGCCTAAATATTATATAGGAATAAATAAAACAGAACACGGTTAAAATGTAAATCCTTAATTTAGTCATATGGTGCCACGTCAATGTCAGCACATAAATCTCCATTCTTTTTATTTTTTTTTATTATTTTTTTTTAAAGGTTTTATTTATTTATTTGAGAGAGAGAGAATGAGAGATAGAGAGCACGAGAGGGAGGAGGGTCAGAGGGAGAAGCAGACTCCCTGCTGAGCAGGGAGCCCGATGTGGGACTCGATCCCGGGACTCCAGGATCATGACCTGAGCCGAAGGCAGTCGCTTAACCAACTGAGCCACCCAGGTGCCCCTTTATTTTTTATTTTTATCAAAATGACACATGCATATAGTTTAAAGAGTCAAACAGACAAATCTTTTTTTTTTTAATGCAATAAAGTGGTTCAGTGCCCTCTCCTTCACCATATATCCCTCCTTGGAGGAAACCACTTTCTACTTTATTTGATTCTTTTGTTATTTATGTACATATCTTTAATTAAGAGTTTGTGTTACTATTTTTTTATTTTTCCATTTCAGATACTGACTCCAACTCTATGGAATTTGAAAATTTGTATCTTTCTCCTATCCTCCCAACATAAATTTTGTTTACTCAATACTCAAATCAATAATAAAAATGCACACTATTAGGACTATGTAAATGTTACTCAGTTGAGGGATACAGTATGCCATAATTAAGCCTTTTCTTTTCCTGTACAACTTTTCATTTTCCCTCAGATTAGCAAGTCTCTTGTTTGTTGTCTTTTTGCCTACTTTTCTAAGAATTTGTCACTAATACGAAACTAATCAAACTCTGTTGATCCCCAAATCCCCAAGATGTGTTGTCTGAGCATCAGTTCTTCTTCCTGCAGAAATCTCTCCCGGAGTTTCTATCTGGAATGTACCCTGCTCCTGTCTGATCTGGCTGTCCGCTGTACCTTGTACAGAACTGTAGTATCTGGGATTTCCCCTCACCGTTCATGGGAGGATTGCCCTGACTCTTCACTCTACGTGGTGGGTATCTTGTTTCTTATATGACCAGCCTTTCCCTTTCTTACCTTACGCTTTCATTTGAGTGGAACACAATTTCTAATAGCTTCCTGAGAAAGGGTATGGGGGAGTACATTTGCGGGGAAACCTGCATATCTAAAAGTGTGTCCATTTTCTCCCTTCACATTTGATTGATATTTTGCCTGGGTACAGAACTTAGTTCAGAAATCATGTTTTCCATTGTATTCTGGCTCCCAGGGCTCCTGCTGATAGATCCTAAGCCTGATCTTTTTTTTCACCTCTCTGAAAACATTTGGGATTCTTTTCTTTGTCCTAAGGTTCTGAAGTTGTATAATGATATGTTTAGATGTGCCTTGGAGTTCACTCACTCCACCTGCACTTGGTGAGCCTGTCAATGTGGACGCTCAAGTCCATCCTCTGTAGACAATCTAAGTCACTCATTGACGATTTCTTCCCTGCTATTTTCCCTGTTCATCATTCCTATTCCAACTTGGTGAGGTTTTCTCTATGTTCCACTCTTTTCCTGCTTTTGCCCTACTTTCTGGGAGATAATTTCAACTACTGGGTTTAATCTCTACCTCCATATTTTTAATTTCCAACAGCATTTGTTTCTATGAATGTTCTTCATTTGTTCAAAAAAATAGCACTCTATTCTTTTTCATGATAGAAGTATCTTATCTCTCATAAATATTGACAGGTGCCCTTTTTTCTGGTTGTTTTTATCTCTTTGTGTATGTATGTTTGAGCCTTTCTTCACATGGCTGATAAACTGCTCATATTTGTGGGTGCCTGGGTGGCTCAGTCGTTAAGCGTCTGCCTTCGGCTCAGGTCATGATCCCAGGGTCCTGGGATAGAGTCCCACATCAGGCTCCCTGTTCGGCGGGAAGCCTGCTTCTCCCTCTCCCACTCTCCCTGCTTGTGTTCCCTCTCTCGCTGTGTCTCTCTCTCTGTTAAAAAAATAAATTAAAAAATCTTTAAAAAAAAAACTGCTCATATTTGAGTTATCAGATAAGTGATAGGAAATTTTAGGGCTTTCTGGCTGAACATCAGTGAGGCTGGTCCACTTGCATATACCCTGGCATCAATATTGCCGGTAGTCCTTCAGTTCGGAAAACTGATTATGTGTAGAATGTAAAGTTCAAAATCTTCCATGAGAGGGCGAGCAATCCCCAGTTTAGGTGAGTCAGGAAGTAATCCGTTGGCAGACTTTTCAACTATCTTCTCTATTTTAGCCCTTCCCTGTCCCTGAATCCTTTTACTCTGTCTTCCAGAACTAGATGATGATGCCAGTTTTTGAGCCTTTGGGGAAATGACTTTATATACCAGGTTAGCTCTCCGTTTTCCCCATTACTGACTTAGGAATTCGGCTTTCTTAGTTTTGACAATCATTTGCCACACATCCATATGCTCTCCACACTCCCAAATTTTGTTGCTGTTGTCTCCTCTCCCTTTCTCTACTGCCCTGCGGATATATGAATTCCAAAAAAGATCCAGTTACTGTCATTTTGGTGGGGGTTCAGAAGGGAGTAAAGGAAGATGCATATATTTAATCTACTGACTTTACCCAGGAGTTCTGACTCATTTTCCTTAATAGGAATGAAATGCAAACTAAACCCTACAAGATATTCTCGACCCATTAAACATAACTCCAGCAACCATAGTCAACTAATTCTTAGCTTCTTTTCAACCTTTTTGTGTCAGGATTTACTTGGTCACCCCTACGGGCTAGATTCTGTTTCAGCTTGCTAACACACATGGGAACTGAAAAAACCAAAGTAACTCTACGAGGCATTCCTCGGAAGTAAGATGACCAATGTTTTCATAGAATGGGGAGGATGATTACCTGCAGTTTAATGTCCTTCCCTGCTGCACAACCAAAGTAGATGTGATTTCACCATCAAGTTCTCCAAGCCTGGGGATATTACCAATATTGGTGCACAAAAGGTAACCACAAAGCACATCCCTGTGTTAAAAGACACCAATTATTTACTTCTTTCCCCAAATAACAAACCATGTACAGTTAAAACAGTAATCTTATCTCATTTTAGCATTTCTTTTTCATCCACTCTATTTTATTTACTCAAATTATAATAAGCTAAATAAGCCCAAATTAGTTTGCCTCCTGCTTTAAAAAGTGTCTTCTCTGAAATTGTTATCCATGTACCAAAATCCCAAACTGTTTTCTAGATTTTCCTTTACTGTCCATTAGTTCAAGTATTTCTCTAAAGGAAATTATCCACCAAAAAGACTTCTTTTAGATCAGAATCTCCTTCCCTAGAACACAACACTGGATATGCTAAAACATTTTTTTTTAATATTTGACAAGTGAATAAATGACCTTTGGATGAGTACTCTTTTGGAAGACAGCTTTCTTCAACCTTTTGCCCCAGAATTAAAGAATTTTATGTATATTTTATATAGAGTAGATTTTTACTTTATATATATATAGTAGATTCATATTTTATATATAGTAGAATTTTATATATAGTAGATTCTCAGCCACATAGATTCACGATCCCTTTTTCAATATATTCCACTAATCCCCCAACCACTGCATATAATTCTCATTTAACATATAAAATATGTCCAGTGGTATTAATATTATCTGACATATTTTCTATATCTAGCACATTTTAATTACTAATATACATAATAATAAACACATACACTAATAAATATCTTGTCAAGAATGATTAGTAGACTAGCAAGATTATATATGAAAATATTAAGCTTCATCAGATAGAGAAAAATTAGAACTTATATCTATCAACATAGAAAAATGTATTAATTCATCCTTAAAAAATAATTTTTAAAGGTTATATCATTTTATTATAGCTATCACAAACAAAAATGCTTTCTTAACACAGAAGAGATATTCAATATTTTTATAAGTGTCATTTATGTGCATGGAGCTTACTAAGTACTTCAGGATATATAAAGAAAAAAAAGACACGGTCAAGGAAATAGACTCGGATGAGAAGAGAAATCGCACACATAAACAACTATGAAACATGGGTGGGGGGAACAAGGGCCACAGTAATAGTACAAAAGGCTGTGGGAATTCAGAGATGAGGGAAACGATTTATTTCTGGAGTAAATCCAGAAACAATTTATACAGCATTGTCCAAAGTGGGCCTGTGACTGGTAACGGAGTGAGGATAAGGGGTGCTTTTGGAGGAATGTGTGCACAAGCAGAGGTACGGAGCGGGGAGAATAAAATGCGTGGACTAAGAATGACAAGGTTTGCTAGAATTTGGAAGAGTAGAGAAGAAAAAAACAAAACAAAACCAAAAAATGAAGGTTGAGGGCAAACTGAGGAGGATGTAAAGGGTCAAGCTAAAGTTCCATTTTGTTCATTAAACAAGACAGTAGGATGTGCCACAAAGTGGTTAAGGGAGAGTTCTGAAATCAGACTGCCACATTCTAATTCTGCTTCTACCACATCCTAGCTACATGACCTTGGTCAAATGAATTAACTGTGCCTCAGTTTTTCCTCCGTAAAATGAGGAGAACTGCCATAAAGACTAAATAGCATAGCTTGTGTAAACTGCAAGATAGTGTGCACAGTAAATGTTGGGCATTATTCTTACTATTAATTAGGTATGTGGGACCAGTGAAATTTGAACAAAGAACTGACAGTCAAAAGGATTCAGCAGATGAATATTCTGATGGCAGCATGCTAGAGAATCCTGGCTTAAGACACTCTTAAGAGGCCTTTGTAACAGTTGAAGAATTAATGTAGGTCTTAGTTGCGGCAGTGCCATAGGAAAGGAAATGAAGAGATCAATTGAGACAAATGGCCATGATTTGGTGTCTGGACAATGTGTCAGAGGGACAGTGGAGTCAAGGACCATTGAAAGACTTCTAAACTGAAGGACAGTGAAATATTAAGATCTTTCACAAAAATGGTGATTCAGAAAAGTCAGAGCCAGTTAATAGAGTATATATTCTGGTGGCTTTAATTTTTGTTGCTTTGAAATGCTAGCCAGCACCTTCTAGGTGAGAAAGTCCTGAGGCAGCTGCAAGGGTGGCCTGGGCCTGAGGGGAGAGGTCAGCAAACTGTCAAGACTCAGGAGCCTTCCACAGGGTGGAGGTGGAATGCTGGGAAAAGATGAGGAGAGCAGGCAGCTGAGGCTCTGCAGGATGCAGAGAACAGGAACGTCCTGGTGGCTCTGAAAGTGACACCCGCAATTAATTAAGGGATAAACTCTGCGCAAACTTCTCCATCTCACCGTTTGTTGCACTGTATCCACGTGTCTTTGTCTTTCCCACAGTTCCCCTTCTCCGTCCCTTCGATATTCAGTTTCTCATAGCAGTATTTGTCTGATGCCATCACCTCTGAAGCAGAAAAGAATTTTCTATCGGTGAGAGATTTAACGCATGAGCTGCTCAAAATGTTCACAGTAAGGGAAAGTAGCCATTTAAGGACTCTTCTTCATGACAATGGTGCCAATTCCAAAGACTGTACCCATGGTTCTCAAGAGTTGTCCTTTACCACAGAAATCCATGACTCAGCTACATTCTTCATGACTGCTCATTGGAAATTTGGAAAACAAATCTATGGAGATCTTTGATGGGATTGAGGCTATAGGTTCTAAGAACAACACTCCTCAGAATGTGGCCAATAATTAGGGGAAGATGTTACCAAATTGTTCCTGGAATAAATACTCCACACTTTAATCTCAGTGCCAAATGTGAAGTACAAATTTCTCACTTGGCAACTTTTATAAATCATAATGACAAGTTTATTAAAATAACTATGCACTATAATTAAAGATTCAAGAAGCAGTAGTATAACTTCTACCTTGTTTACTAATTCTTAACAACTATTAAAAAACAATTTAATTTTATTCTGTTTTTAGACAAGCTTGAATTCACACTAAATCTAAGAGAGTGAAATAACATTTTAAACTATGTCAGCATCTTTTTCAGGACTTTGTTTTGGCTAAAGCCAAGGCTGGTTGATGGAATTGTCCAGAAGTTAGATCAAAATGACCTCTGCAAACTAATCAAAAGATAACTGTTTGTATATATTTTTAAAAAATAATCACGTTAAAAAAATAATCAGTTTTTTTTCCTACTTCTTGCTGTAAGCAACAGTTTTTTCTCAAGTGGGGGAAACAAAAACTGTAACTCTTTGTTCAGAGTACAATCTGCATTTCCATATTCTCCCCCTTTCTCCAGTCACTCAGAGGAGGGCGTACACTTGCCCTCTCAGAAAGAATGTAGCCACTATGTGTGACAATTAAAGATTATCTTTATCTTTATAGCTTATTTCCTAATACAAACTGTCTTCTGAAAGAGTTTAAAGCAAAAATTACCTTCAAAAAATATATGGCACAATATTTAAATACACATTTAAGCAGAGATATAATTTAAATATGTTTTAGATATAAATATTATATACTTCCCTCCAAAAATCTGACAAACTTTGAAAGCAATAACATTAAAATTTTTTCTGATGTGGCATAGCTACCTCTGCAGAGGGTCACCTGTAATTAGGAAAGCGAGCTAGACTTTAAGAGAGATAGTTGAGGAAGAAAAAACAACTCTAGCTAACCTGCTACAGTGCTAAGCCAAGGGCATCCTATCCAGGGTCTACGCCCATCCCATATGGTTTTACAGGTTTGGTTAAGGACACTCAGCTGAGGGAAGTGTAAGTGGAGCTGAAATCCGGGTTTGCTCTATTCTCCAGGCTGCACAGGCTGGAGCAGACTTCATCTGCCTGGCAGCAAAGGCACCTTCTTTCTTGTCCAATGGCACAACCAACTAGCCAAGTGTCTTCTCAAAGGCCGTGCCTTTCTCTAATGTCTACAAAAGTGCCCCTACTAAGACCTGCAGTGTCTTTGAGAATCCCTCAGTCATAAAGTGGTTGAAAATTTACTTCCAGCTCACATCATGTGCTTTGACCTGATATCATACTTTGAAAAGGATCAAGCCACACTATTTACTTACTTTGCCCCCAGATGTATTTGCATTGCCTATCCCTGGTTTTACATCTTCCTCCAAAGCAAATCCCCTAAAATGGAAAAGCATACACCTATTAACGATGCAATGTCTGCTTATGTTGGATCACTGAAAAAAGAAAATATGACTGGGAAAACTAGTAGATGAGTATTATAAAACCTTTTATCTTCAGAATTGATTACAAAACATTTAAACTGATTTTCCTATTTGGTAAGATTTCAGTATTTCTTTCATGCTGGTACACATGAAAGATTTAGGTAAAGATGAAGTAACCTACCTGAATACCATCACATGAATATCCATCCATTTTATGAATATTTGGGGCACACTAGGAAATGAAAACAGAACTATGAACCAAGTGCACAGCAAAATATCCGGCTGAGCTAATCCCTGTAATGTTTTCTTTTTCTTTTTGAAAATAAAAGTCTGATAATATGGATAAGTCTCTTAAAACATCTGAAAATAAAAACAAAAAAGATCAGGAGGAAGCAAAAGGAAATACAACAATTGGTGCACTTTCCCCTAAAAATATGGATCTACTAGAGGCAAAAACAGTTGATTACACTGTAGCAAATAAAAAGAACCTACAGCTATGACTCAGCCAACCCTAACATTTCAGAGCATCTTGCTTTACACAGATACACTGTTCCTCAGAGCAAGAAAAACAAGAGCACAAAACAAAAGCAAGGAGGATGCCAACATACATGGAGCAAAAACTAGTTTCCTCTTTTTTACCATGAGAAGCACCACAGCCCTTACTCTTACAATGTCTCTTGAGCAGAAGTCCACCTTGGGCACATTAGAAAAAAAACATGCCTTATAGCCCCATTTTTCCCTTGTAGCAATTGCAGAAAATTGCAAAGCATTCTTAATAAAAAGTATTTTTAAATTTATTATACATTTTTTGTATCTTTATAATAATTATATACTCACTTCAGAAAACTTAGGGAATGTTAAAAAAGTAAAATAAACAAACAAAAAACAAAAGACAAAGTCTCTCATGTTCCCACCACCCAAAGACAACAATTTTTTATATTTTGGTATATTTTTTTCTCTACCTTTTTCTACAAAATTTGACTTTTTAAAATATGGGTATATAATCATGTTATGGATGATATTTTATATCCTGCTTCTCTTTACTTTTTCATCACGTGAATTTCCTCAGGTCATAATAAGCTTTTTTGTAGGTATCATCCTTAATAGCTATAATATACTGCATTGAGCTAACAAACCATATAACCAATGTACTATAATACTCACTTCTAACTATCTCCAGTTTATGCTGTTACAACTAATTCAGCAAAAGCATCTTTCTACATGATCTTTGGATTCTGGATTTTTTTTAAAACTCCTGCTTATGGTATAGTCACATTCCAAAGAAGTCGCTCTAATATCCTTTCCCTCCAGGAACACAAGGCAGTCATTCACTGTATCCTCATCATCACTAAGTGTTAGCTTATAGAAACAATGCTAATTAGATAGTAAGGAAAGAAGATACTTTTACATGAAAGATTTCTAGTCTCTTAGGAGGACTACCTTTAAAACAAAACATTTTTATGATTAATGCAGGTATACCACTACTGAATCCCTCTTCTCTAGAGGAAAAACATGTAGGCTGTCCTTGCTCTGCATAGCTCCCATATACATGGATTTCAGATACCATGGTTTTGTGAAATGACATCAGTACCCCAACAACACAGTTCCAATTTCAGCTCCCACAGTGTATTAACTGTGAGCAACTGCATAAGGCACACATTTGCTACTAGCCTTTCAGTTCCATGATCACTAGGTATCTAACAGCTGCCCATCATGGGCACTTGTCACTTCTTACAAAGTCCGCCAGTGACTGGTCACTGCCCATGTTCATTCAGTTCATGCACAGACAACAGAAGGTGTAGGTGTGTTGACTCTCTCTGTCTCTGGGTAATAGCATGTGACATTTTGCAAAACTGGATAACTGTTAAGAGGGAACTGGTCAGCAAAGATGAAAATGCAGAAAAGAAATGAAAAAGGATGACCCTAGAAGTGAAATTCAAATCAAATATAAATTGAGTCACAGCAAAAAGTCACTGACTGGGCATGTTGATTCTGCTATTTGGCAAAAAACCTCACATTCACACCTTCACATCTCCTGGAGATATTTCAAGACACTGAAAATGCAAAGGATAAAATGTTGAAAGCTGATCCAAACTTAGAAGGGAGTCAATTCAACAAGGCATAGAGAAGATGCTTACTATGGATCCTAAGGTTTGTGGCCAGAAGGCATGCACAGCCTAAACTGCTCCTGATGAGGATTTTACAAACAAATAAAACTTGTAATTCTCAATGTTTCTGTTTTTAGTGTGCTAAAAAAATGTTTATTTTTTCATTTCCTTATTCACTTAAAACCAAGGCTGACATCATTTTTTAAAGATCACGGAACAATTGTAATTTTTGCACTGATTATTAAGATGAATTACACGATTTTAGCTTGCACGGTCATTGTTAGGGCCCTGCACTACCCTGCAAACTGAGGACGGCCTGTATATACAATGACCATGGGAAATCTGTGAACCCTCACCAAAGTTTATCAACTTCCTCATCTTCTCCATTCACAACCATATGACATTAAATTCAAGAGCAGTTATTAATGGGTGAGGTGACGCAGGTGGTCTCAGAAAAGCAAGAGTCAAGGCAAAAGAATAGATCCCTCCTCAGAACTCAGTGCTCTGTGGGTCTCTCTGCCTTGGCTGGCTCCTGTTTCCACCAACTGGAGAGAAAACAGGACAAAAAGCAATGCCTTCCATTCTCTACTTAGAACAGAAACAAAATCGTTAAGGCACGCATGCAGTCTGAGGTTAGTTCAACATTGAGATAAAATGATGCTGCACATCTGCGCAAGCTTCGATTACTGAAACTGAAATCCCCGAGAAGTAAATAAAGAGAGAATGAGAACTGATGTAAAAAAGACATGACATCATGTCCCTTTAAGTTTTGCCTGGGGGACAGTACACTATAGGTACCCCTACTCCTTCCCGTCAGGTTCAGACTAACGATTCTGTAAATTACCTGGCTTGAATTTCCTGAGCACGTCTCACGAATATCGCAATCGTTTACTGCTTCTCGGCACACGGTCCCCATGGGCTGAAACTAAAGTGAACAAAAATCAATGTGCAAAACTGCCGAAGGGGGGGAAAAAAATCTCTTGTGGCATCATTTCAAAAAAAGGCAAAATGACTATTTTTGGATAGGAATATTGCAAGCGATTTTAAGATGCCAGTCTCTGAAAACCCCATTACTGAATGAAATGTTCATTTAATAGTTTTCAGCAAGAGTTTCGCTTGTAGGAAAGAATCTGCAGAGTCATCACACATTAAGTCTTACGATAACTACTAAAATAGGGTAGGTCTGGATGATCCATCTCCCCAGAAGGACAAGTCAGTCCAAGTTCTAGTAATTCTTCCTCCCAAAAAAGGTTTTGGATTTACACTTTACTCTTCATTCTTACTGGCATCTTCATCGTTTTGCTCTCTTTTGCCTCATCTGCCAAGATTCTGAATGTTGTTACATCGTAGGCTGAATTGCAAAAGTTAGATTTTCTGGCAAAGCGATTTCCTCCCACACTGTCCTTTATCTCCTGTCTCATTTTTATATATAGATCTATGGCATGGTCTTTTATTCTTGTCTAATGTTTCTATTATTTGTACCTGTGTATGGGAGGGGTTTTTCTCTTTTCTTTTTTCTCTTGCCTATTTTCAACCACCTCAAATATTTCTTGTAAGTGTAGGGAGTTACAAATAAAATTTTAAGCTCACTGAATTTATAAATTGCCAGGGTATTCATTATAAACAAACAGAGATACACAAAGTCATAATCCTTCCCCTCTCTTCTTCAATCCCATTCTCTTTCATTCCCCAAAATGCTATTATCAGGGGCTGGATCCTTCCATGCTTTTATGTCTGCTCACACAAACAGACCCATTATTCAGGACCCCTCTCCCAGACCACCTTTCATCTTCTCTCCCTTGCTCATAACCCTCCAGGCACCTGAGTTTCCTACTGTTCTGAGAACATGAACAGCATACTGCCAACTCCAATCGGGATTTCAGCAGATATTTTTAAGAGATCCGAAAAAAATTTGTGTTCATTCATTCATCAAGTATTTATTAGGCACTTAAAATGTGCCAGGCACTTTCTGGCCACTGGGGACTCAGTGGAGAACAAAACACAAGAATCCTGCTTGCAAGGAACTCACATTTTAGTGGGGTAAATAGACCATGAAAATAAGGAAATAAGCAAGATAATTTAAATTCATATACTCTGGTTCTCTTCCTTCCAATTTCTTGGAATTGGGGTAAACTACAATTTTAGAAAGTCTGAGGTAGAAATATAAGCAGATTTAAGATGGAGTTTATATGAGACTGTAAATGTTCAAGAAGTGCCAAGAAACTTCTGAAAGAAAGCATAGTGAAGGACGACTTGCTCTCAGTGCTGGGATACAGCAGTAGATAAACTGACCCAAATCCCTGCCCTCTTGGAACTTACATACTAATGAGTGAGCAAAAATAATAAACAAGTCAATGAGCAAAGTTTTACAGCAAGGGTTGGCAAATTATGGCTTGAGGGCAAAAAGTGGCTGGCCATCTGTTTTTATAAATAAAGTTTTATTGGAACACAAGCATGCTCATTTGTTTCTGTAATTTTGATGGCTGCTTTCAAAGGCAGAGTTTGGTAACTGAGACAGAGACCTCATGACCCACAAAGCCTAAACTATTTACTACCTGATCCTTTACCCAAAATGTTTGCCAACTCTGACTCACAGATGCTTTAAGCATAAATACACATAGGAAAAAACAGAGATACGCAGGATTTCTCAGCCTGTTTTTCTATTCCCCCTCCATTCATTCACTCTCCTGCCTCTGGTTCCTCCAGGGGTCTAGGATGGGCGTAAGAACTGGGGGTGAGAGACAGAGAAAGTAGCAAAAAGCTCTTACTTGACTGGTAGAGCTGCAGCTTATTTTGTGAGATAGTTAAAATCATGACATTTTCCTGTATATATTGTAATTCTATTATTTTGTATTTGTTCTTTGAAATGTTCATGTTCATATCACAAAGGGACCCTTTTTATGCAGGTGGAGAAGCTGACAGACTAAATAGATGATGCAGGGATGCCTGGGTGGCTCAGTCATTAAGCGTCTGCCTCCAGCTCGGGTCATGATCCCAGGGTCCTGGGATCGAGCCCCGCATTGGGCTCCCGGCTCGGCGGGAAGCCTGCTTCTCCCTCTCCCACTCCCCCTGCTTGTGTTCCCTCTCTGTCAAACAAATAAAATCTTTAAAAATAAATAAATAAATAAATAAATAGATGATGCAACCCAAATCTTAAAATGTCTGTTTTGTATTTGATTTAATCCTCCTTTTTTTAGAGAGTGCTTTCAGAGGTCTCTGCCAGTGCCTTGCTTGTCTTAAAAAGCTGCCAGAGACATAGTGGTAAAGTAGAAACAACAGAAATTGCTGCCAGCAGATCTGGGATGTAACTTCACATCTATTCCTTAACAGCTGGACGAGCATATGCAGGTTGTATCACTTCCTTGAGACCAGGATTGCTCAAATGGAAAAATAAGGGTAATAACGCCTATCCCAAAATAACGCATTTTCAAAACCAAAAGTGTGGTTGTGAGCTTTATCTATGACAGTGGTCTCAACCAGCAGTGATTTTACCCCTGAGGGGACATTGGGCAATGTCTGGAAATATTTTTGGTTGTCACAAGTGGGAGGAGTTGTGCTTGTATCAAGTGAGTAGAAGTCAAGGATTTGCTAAATAACTTACAATACACAAGACATACCCTCAAAACAAAACAATCATCCAGCCAAAAATGTCAACAGTGCCAGGACTGAAAAACCCAGATACATGATGATATAAATTAAAAGTGCTTAGCACAATCTCTGGCACTCAGTAGATATTTACTATGATAGATTCATGTCCCACTCTCCCTTAGCTCATTAGACTCAAGTTAGTCGATCAGCAAATAATCAATAAAAGAGTGTTGTGCATATTTATTTATCCACTCAACAAATATTTACTAAGGACCTGTACCAATTACTGGGTAAGTCCCAGACACTGACTCCATAAAATGTACATATTAAGGTGAATACCAAACCTCACAGCAACTAATGTAGAATATTGTACCAGATTTTATATGAGAGGAGAGAAAAAGAAATAGATTTCTTTGAAAAATGTAAGCCTCAAATAACTTTTAGTCATGATGTTAAGGCTTAAATATTTGGGGACAGGTATGGGATGCTATTGGGAGGATGAAAACAATGTGCCTAAAGATGCATTCTAAAATCTCATGCATGGTAATACACGTAAGATGTTATCATGTCTAAAAGTATAGCTTCTGGGGCGCCTGGGTGGCTCAGTCATTGGGCATCTGCCTTCGGCTCAGGTCATGATCCCAGGATCCTGGGAGTCCCGCATCGGGCTCCCTGCTTGGCAGGAAGCCTGCTTCTCTCTCTCCCACTCCCCCTGCTTGTGTTCCCTCTCTCGCTGTGTCTCTCTCTGTCAAATAAATAAATAAAATCTTTAAAATAAAATAAAATAAAAGTATAGCTTCTGCTATACTTATGCAAGAAATACACCAAGCAGAGCAGCAAGAAAAGAAGAATCTCTTGAATATCCACTTGGCTTTATAAAGAAAGGGAAAACCTCATTTGAAGGTTAGGAACACCTGGCTTCAGTTAATGTGCATGTCCCTCAGGTAAGCAGTAATGAGAAGACAAACTGGGGAAATTAACAAGGTCCAGGACCCAGCTCTCTGACTTACTTGGTACAAGACCCTGGGCAACCGTTTACCCACTGTATGCCTTAGTGTTCTCAACTGTTCGACAGGAATAAAAATAGTAATAAAACTTCACAAGATTTTATGGGGATCTTATAGAGCACCTGGCAACATAGTCACTTAATATATGATAGGCACTACTTTTGTTATTACATCATATTTGCCTAACCTTAATGATTTAATCAAATATATCCTCGTCTCTGTCAATTAGTCATTACTCAACATTTATTTACCTTGCACTTTTTACAACAAAGACCATCACTGCATTGAGAATCTTGAGTCAAGGTGCATTTCTTACAACATTCTGCTCCTTCAAGGACACACTCCTAAGGAATACAAAGATTTTCAAAACATCAGAAAATGGTGTCATTTTCTAAAAGTACCAGGATATTTTTTTTAAATAAATGTATAACCCCACAATAATAATCTTTCTTCCATATATCCCATGAAATTTCCAGACATAACACCAGCTCTGTTTGTCTCAGTGAGTGGACCTGGAATGACCCTGGATAACCTAAAAAAAAAAAAAAAAAAATCATCAAAACACCCAAAGACTTACTGCCGGGGTCCCACAGTCACACTCCTCTCCAGTTTCGATGAAGCCATTTCCACACTCAGGAGGATCAAGAAGCTGTGGGATGAAACCAAAAGGATAAAATATGGATAAATCAAGAGAGACCATAAGTACCACAACCATACATCTGGTATACCTTTGGTCATTTCCAAGTATATTTTTATTTTCCTAAACTTGAAAGTGTAATTCTAGAACTTTAGAACTGGAAACTTGAGAACAGAAGTATCTACTTCCGTTTCCATTTCAGATTGGAAATTCAAATTTACATATGTAATATGCATATGGATTCCAGTAAATGCCACCGAAATAAAAGACCTAGCCATTGACTGAACCCAAGCCAGACTGATTCCTGAAATTTCATTTCAAGCAGGAAGCAAGGGATTTGGAGACAGAAAGTGTGGGTTCAAACCTTGGCTCAGCTACTTTATCTTGGGCATACGGCTTGTCATCTCAGAACCAAGTGCTTTAATATTTAAAGCAGGAATAATAATAATATTATCTGCCCATCTACATCAAAAATTGTTGGGAGGATCAAGTTCAATCATCTGTGAGAGCCATTTACTAACTATATATCCTTGTGAAATAGGAAGTTATTTTATAGACAATTAGGAAAACATCACAAAACTTAATAAATCCACTGATTTATTTAATATAAAATATAGCCTCTCCAATTAACGTAGCTTTGCGGAACGCAGTAATAATAACTGGCCCCAGAGATGGAAGTAACTTTTAGCATGTACAAGAGTACATTTTAAGACTTTTATTTTTCAACTCTCCATCAATTTCATTATCTTTTGAGCATAACTTATCTTACGGTGATAGGTAAAATTACCAAGTAGCTGTTATGTCCCAGTTATGTAATATTCAATTAGAAGTTCGTCAAAGTTTACATATTATAGAATGGGATGGAACGCACACCTGTCAACAGACACACTCCCACACACACACTTTCTTAACTAACTAGGGGGGGAAAAACCAATAAAAAAAGCAGCAGCAATGACAACAACAAAATCCCCACCTGATTCCAAATATTCTCTCCTCTCCTACAAAATAATCAACACATCTCTAGATTCTATTTTCAGCTGAAAGGGATCATAACAAATGAGACAGCTTTGAAAGCCAAAACTAAAACTTATCCAGATGAAAAATCCACTTATCATTTTACTCTGAGCTCAGAAACATCAGTTATTTTTGTAAAAAGACTTGAATTGTTTTTCATTTATAGCAGCAGGGAGTTAGTTCAAATGTCCCTTCTGAAACTTTTGCAAAGAGTCTTTAAAATGGTCACTTTCCTTTTCAAAGCAATATGATACACTTTCTAAATTTCACTGGAATAGACAGGGAATGAAATCAGGTAAATGATGATAAAGGCAACACCACACATCACTGTGGTGAGGAGAAGAATGTAACAGTTCACATAATTAACAAGAACCAAGAATTCTGCTTTAACATGCTGACTTCCAAATGCATGAGGAAGACCTGCTTTCAAGTCAGTAACCAGAGTTTGTTCTGCAAGTTGGAAAGGCCTCTGACAAAGTCTAAGTACACAAAGACTTTCTCCTTTGCAGCCTTGGCTTTCATACCGAGAAGTAATAGCAATTTTAATCATACTACTCATTCTGAAAGGCAGCACTGACAGGGAGTTATGAGGGGGAGAAACGCCCCTTTTCTATCAGTATGAGCTGTGATTACATATAAAAACAAACAAAAAAGGAACCAAGAAAATGAAAAAGAAAGGCAAATGAGGGTGCCTGGGTGGCTCAGTCGTTAAGCGTCTGCCTTCGGCTCAGGTCATGATCCCAGGGTCCTGGGATCGAGTCCCGCATCGGGCTCCCTGCCCAGCGGGAAGCCTGCTTCTCCCTCTCCCACTCCCCCTGCTTGTGTTCCTGCTCTTGCTGTGTCTCTCTCTGTCAAATAAATAAATAAAATCTTTAAAAAAAAAAAGAAAGAAAAAGAAAGGCAAATGAAACCATCTTTGCAAACTAATCATTTTTCAGAAAGCACACAGTCTTATTTCTACCTGCTTTCTATTCCCATCACAATAGCCCAAAACGCCAGGGTGCTTGGGTGACTCGGGATAGAGCCCTGTGTCAATTCCCCTGTTGAGCTCTGTACTTAGCATGGAGTCTGCTTGAGATTCTCTCTCCCTCCCTCTCTGCCCCTCCCCCAACTCACACACAAGCTCTCTCTCTCTCAAATAAATAAATCTTAAAAAAAAAAAAAGAATAGCCCAAAATACCAAAGATTAAAGCTGACTTCAGAATGCAGATATTTCGCATATCTAACATATGGACATAAAAGCCAAGTTGGAAAACTTTCTTTTTGTAAGATCCAATGGCTAGAAATTTACACTTAATAATACCCTAGAAAGATTAATAACTAATAACTCTGATCACACTTAGTACCTTAGAAGGTTTGTTGAAAAGACAGGCACCACCTCCACTATTCAGAAAGTCATGATACTCTTCAATATTACACTGGGTGAACTTTTTAGGAAGATAATACCTGTAAGACAGAAGAAAAGCAGTAACTGGATATAATTTTAGTCCCCCTTGTCTGTATGTTAGTCTTAAACTTGAACATTGTTAAAATTGTAACATTATTCTTAAAAATGAAAGAATAAATTCCACATATGTACAGCATTTGTGTTAAATCCCTAAGACTTTGATTCTACCAGCATATTTCTAAATTCTTCATTCGGTGATTAAGAGTGACTATGGGCTGTTCATTATTAGCATATGCATTCAAAAGAAACACACACATACCTATATTTTCAATCAAAGAACAGGAATAATGAGTCTTTCTTAAATATAAAAACTCGATCCCAAACTGCAGATTTTACAAAATTACTGACTTATAATCTATGAATGTGCCAAAGTTATGAAAGTCAAAGAAAACTGAGGAACTGTTTCAGACTGAAGGAAGATAAGATTGATTCTGAACCATCTGTTAAAAGTGGCATTTTTTGAAATACAGGGCTAATTTTGAGTGAGGGCTAAAAATTAGATAATTTTATGGTTGCATTCTGGTTCTGTAGGAGAACGCACTTGTTTGTAGGCAATGCACACTGAGGTGTTTGGGGGTGATGAGGTACGATGCTAGTGACTTATGATTCAGAGGACAAAAAGGTTCTTTGTTACTATTCCTGCAACTTTTCTTAATTATAAGATTATGTCAAAATACAAGAAAAAAAAAGGTATACAAAAAAAAAAAGTATAAAAGGATCAGAAGAAAAAGAAATGTGGTGGGCGCCTGGGTGGCTCAGTTGGTTAAGCGACTTTCAGCTCAGGTCATGATCCTGGAGTCCCGGGATCGAGTCCCACATCGGGCTCCCTGCTCGGTGGGGAGTCTGCTTCTCCCTCTGACCCTCTTCCCTCTCGTGCTCTCTATCTCTCATTCTCTCTCTCAAATAAATAAAATCTTTGACAAAGAAATGTGGCTAGAGAACAATTTGGCAATATGTATGAAGAACCTTCAAAATGAGAAATATCCTTAAATCTAGTAATTCTACTTTAAGAAATTTTTCTTGAGGAAATAATTAGCTATGTATACAAAGATGAATGAACAAAGGAACTTAGAGTAGCACAATTTGTAATAGCAAATGCCATGAAAATCATGTAAATGTTTAGAAGTAAGAAAACTGTTAACTGTTGATATATTAATAAAATAAAATACCATGGAATTATCAATAACACATCTATTATATTCAATGCTTTCTCAAAATTTTAATTTTTATACCTTTAAGTAGGACTGATTTTCATTTCAACATGCTTTCCAGCACGCAGCAGTGCGCAGAGACTTCAGAAAGTAGAAACGGGAGGGAAGGTGCCCACAGGAAATACAGGTCCATAATTAGTACTGTTGCGTGAAGTCTGACACAGCTCAAATCATATAGAGCATCACGCCAGACGTTTTCTTTAAAAAGCTTTTCTCTTGCACACATCCATTTGATATAAGAGGAGTTCTAATGCAAAGAGCTATGTACGTTTTTGAGCGTTGCCATTTGATTTTGCTACACATTATGCTTAGTCTAGGCAGACTGCCTATAAAATTTTGTTTTTAGTAATTAAGCAGAATAATCAACCATACTAAATAGCTTTTAAAAGACAAGAACCTCTAGCTTGGAATTTAGTTAAGTGTTATAAAATTATGGATATAATTATGGATAAGGACTTTTATCATTCCCTTTTATTACTAAACAGAAAGTCCAAAGATATTTTGAAAAATATTTTAATACATGTTTGCATATACATTCCCTCTATCATTTATCTTCCTTGTCATACATTTCTTGGGAGCTCAAAATGAAAATATCAATAAATATTTATTGAAAATCAAGTGTGTCAAGAGATTATGGTATGAGGTCAAACAGAAATACTTATTAGTGTAGATGTAATCCTCAAAGATTCACAACTAATTGGTGAGGCAAAGCATAAGGACATACGGAATTAAATTACAATGCGGGAGTTAAAATTATAATAAATCTCAAATGGCTAGAAATGTGGTTGGAGAGAAAGAATTCCAAATGAAAAGAATATATCAAAGGAATCAAAAGAGGCTGGAAATTAATGTACATTTATGGTGAGCAAATTTTTAAGAAGCTTAAAATCCATGTAGGAGGGACACCTGGGTGGCTCAGTCGATTAAGCGGCTGCCTTCGGCTCAGGTCATAATCCCAGGGTCCTGGGATCAAGTCCCACATCGGGCTTCCTGCTCTGCAGGGAGCCTGCTTCTCCCTCTGCCTCTGCCTCTCTCTGTGTCTCTCATAAATAAATAAGTAAATAAATAATCTTTAAAAAAAAATCCATGTAGGATTATGGTTAGAAGATCAAAAAAGCTGGAAACCCCTGTATAACTATCATAATAAGCAAACCAACCATGAATAGCAGGGGAAAATGAGGTTATAAATAAGGATGAAGAAAGATTATGTATATCCAAGTACAGGAGGAAGAACTCTAAACCTTATTCTTCAGGCAACAGAGACTCAACAAAAGTTCTGAGCAGGAAAATGATATGATTCATGTGCAGGAAGAGAAGAATGGAGGAATTTGTGCCTTATACATTCAATGAACTAGAACTGTATATTATCAGCATGGATAAATCTTAAAAACATAAAGATCAAAAAGAGCAAATCACAGAAGAGTACATATAGTATGACTCCTTTCATATAAACTAAAAACATGCAAAGCAACGCTATGTATTACTTCAACATACACATATAAACAATAAAAGTATTCCAAGGGGCTTGTGAATAATATGAACCAAATTGAAGACAGTAGTGACTTTGGCTGGGGTTGGGGAGCAACAAGAGAGAACAAACAGAAGGGGATTTAACTATGTAGGAAGTATTTTTTTAGGCCGGGTGATGGTATACAAGGGTTCACTCTTCTCTTTATGCCTTTTCAGTGACGACGGAGATGGAATTCAGGAGGGGAGAGAGGGAGGCTGAAATTTGCCTGGGTATCTGGAATGTTATTAAGATAATAAAAGCTCAAGATGATAAAAGTTGAAAGTAAGGAGTAGTGATGATCTTGGCATGAAAGGAATGGTAGTATAATTTACTAAGAAAAAATAAATACAAGATTGGTGCCTGACAGTGTGTCGAAGGGTAAAGAAATGAAAACCTGTCTCAGGAGAGCAGAGTATACACATCTCTTCCACACTCTGGCAGCTTGAAATCAGCCATTTTAGGAATACTTACACTACAAAAATCAGAGAAAGCTACAAATCCAGGTTCTTTTCTTGTTTTTTAGTCTGAGAATCAGCTTACCAGCACACTACTGTTTACAACCCATTTAATTGGAATTGAAGACAGAAGAAAAGAAAATTAGTAGGTAAGCCATGAAGAACAAAGCTGTTCCTCACTTACATTTCTAGCCTAGATGAAAGGCTAACAAAGTCTTTGCTCTTCTATCTTAACTGACAACAACTGTCTTCATAAATAAGAGACTATTTTATGAAAATATTTTATAATAGAGAGCCATTGAGAAACTCTACATCCAATTTTCTTTTTAATGTCGATGGTGAGGTTCCACTCACTAAGCTGTTGGTGTCATATTCCTAAGGAGACCACAGCACAGCAGAGAAAGGAAGTGAGTTATTTTCAAATAGAAGTGGCTTACCCAGTGTCTCCCATTATGCATCCAGACCATGTGTCCTCACATTTACACTCACCTAAGAGAAAATGAGTACAAATGCCTTTTTATAAAGTGAAAACAGGTGCATTAGAGTAGTTTTTAAAATTTTATTCCTTAAATAAAGGAATTTTATCTTCACTTTATTCCTTAAATACCTTTAAGAAGTAATACCTGCTTTCTAAGTTTCCTTATATTTGAAGTTTTGCATGCAATTCATAATAACAAAAATCTACTTGGACCATATCAAGATTTTATAATTTTTACTAAATTAAAACCTTGATATTTTAACAAGTGGCCTTATTTTTAAAGCATTCATTAAAATGCTTTAAAATGGCTTAACAATCTAATACCAGTGAAATAGCATCACTATAGGATTCTGGTTTCACAGTCCCTTATGGGACTTCTTACAATTTCTTGTCCAGTTTTAAAACCTCTGCACCAAAGCTGCTGATAGAAGGCAGTATAGTATATTGTTTAAGCAGAAAGGCTTAAACTACCTGGGTTCAAAACCTGGGCTTGCCACTTAATATATGAGTAATCTTGGAGACATTACCCTTTTAACATCCAGTCACCTTATTCTGTAAAATGGGGCTAATAATGGGTATCTTGCAGGATTATCTTGAGGATTAAATGAGTATCTAGATGTAGATAATAGTGGCATTCAATTATCTGTCTTTTAATGGGCATTTCATAAATGGTAATAGTTATTATTAATATAAACAATCATTTATATGTTATTAAAATAATAAGATAAATATGATTTTAATCAACTTACTCCAAATACATGACGTTTGACTATTCCTGGTGAATTAACTTTACCTACTTGGGAAAATATATTCTTCCTAGATGCTAGTCCCAGCATAGTTTACCAGGTCCATATTTTACTGAGCCCTTTAGCAGGCAAACTCTCCTCTGTGGCCATACTAAGAGATGTTTTAAATAAACCATAATAAAACAGTATGCCTTGAACCTACACGCCTAGGATTTTCTACGAGACCATTTAAAATGACCAAACTGAGCTTATTTTGTCCTTTTTTAAATTCAACAATGAATTTATCATCACATAGCTTTAAATGTTAATTACGCATGGAGACATTTTCACCTACAGGACAAACATTATCTTGTATAACTTTTGAAGAAAATATTATATGCCCCAGCTGTTTAACTTATACCATCACCCAAACTCGTTTGATTAAGCAACTGAATTTAAAATCTCATTCTCCAAAATATTTATAGAGAGTCTATTTTAAATAAAACTAAACCACAAAGGTGAACTTACCACTTGCTAACTTTCTTTTGTCTGAGATAATACCAATATTATGGGCTAATGACTGGGCGAGTGTAACTGCCATTAAATCAGTTTTCCCAAACTGAAAAACAAGAGCAAAAACAAAATACGTGTAAATGGGAATTATTTTTTATTTAAGATGGGCCAGAGAAAAATGACACAATATAGTTGGAAATAAGTAATTTGTAAGCCTCTTATTTAGTAGAGGTAAACATACAGTAGCTAAAGCTGAACGATAGAGCATTTGAGAAAAAAGTTGTAAGAAATAAACCTATGTTTGATTCAATCTTATAGGGAAGACTAGAAGCCAGGGAATCACCACTTTTCGGGTTTAGAAAATTAAGTCTAATTCTGAGTCCAAATTTCACTAGTGACATTTCTGAAAAACTTAATACTTGTATATACATGTCAGTCTTTTAGAAAATAATAAAAGTAAATGTGTAAATTATTTGGAACTTGTTCATTTTTGTGTGTCCATTTGCATGCCCAAAATTTCCCCAAATTAAATAGAATGTGGCTTCAGAAAACAAATGGTATGAGTAACAGGAAGTGGTAATGATATGTGGGCAAAAGAAACTTGAGACCTAAAGATACTTTTTTCAATATGTTGATTCAAGTATTTTTCTTTTAGATCACTTCCATCAGACTTAGTGCCTTAGGGGTAAAAGAAACTCTTTGGAAAACTTAGTCTATTTTTTTCTTCCAAACTTTGCCAAATATTGAAGAAGGAAGAATATTTCCAATTGGGTTGTTAGGTAGTCAGCCAATGCTTCAAGAATTACTCAGTTCTCCAGGAAATCAGCCAAAGCATAGATAGGGCCTTATTTTCAATAAGGATAAAAGTAAAGATTTTATCTATATAATTTGTAAATAGCTAAATTTGGAGATTATTCTAAGTAGAACATGAACAGAATTATCAAATACTATCTTCCATTATTTTCCTATTCTCTGTCCTCCGGTCATTTATAGCAACCATATTGGTTGTGAATAAAACAACCTAACATCTAGAGAATAAGGAATATGAGAAATTATCTCTTAAATATTAGGAAAACATTTTCAGCCATCATACCACTTTGTATTGTACAGATGTTCACACCTACTTCATTCACGCCTCCTCCTTTCAGCAACGAGCAAATCCCACCAATATAAGCTGCCCCGCTCCGGCTACTCTCAAATTGACTTCCCCTTTTAGAAAAGGAAACGAAAAATGCTTACTGTTCAAAGTTCCAAGTATCACTGCACCTTTCATTATTAATTTACCACACTTACGTTCTCAATGCAAATACATTCCCATACTGTATACTTCTGAGGGGAGGGAGGAAAGTGAATGTTACTTACACACATAACCAAAGAGAAGAGTTTCTGAGGGATGTTTCCCCACATGAGCAATAATACCTTCAACAGAACTATACCTGTTTTGAAAAAATCACTAATATGGTGTACTCTGAGGAGGCTACAAAATCACTTCTGTGGTATTTCTGACCAAAATGTCTAACTTGAATCTCTCAATGGGAAAACATGAGACATCCCCACAATGCGGAACATTCTATAAAATAACTGACCTACACTCTTCAAAAATGTTAAACCCAAAATAAACAATGAAAGGCCGAGGAAATCTCCCAAATTAAAGGAGACTAAAGAGACAGGACAATTAAATGCGATGCATGACCTTGTGTTGGGTCCTGAATGGGGGGAGGGAATTAGCTATCAAAGACATTGTTCAGATAATTGGAGAAGCCTGAATATAGGTTACTTAAAAGTATTGTATCACTGTTAAATTTTCTAGTTTTAATAATTTAATAAAAATTTTAATAAAATTTAATAAATTCAACTAGATTTTAATTAATAAAAATTCAATAATTTACTACGGTGATATAAGAGAATGTCTTTATCTTTAGGGAATATACATGTATTTAGTAGTGAATGCCCAGTAAGTGAGTATCTCCAACTTGCTCTCAAATGGTTCAGGAAAAAAAAAATTGATAGATAAATGGATGAAAGGAAAAAGGAAGGGAGGGAGGGAAAAAGGGAAGAAGGAAAGAAGGAAGAAAATCATAAACAAATGGGGCAAAATGTAAATAATTAATGAATCTGGGTAAAGAGCATATATTTCCTTGTAGTATTCCTGCAAAGTTTCTATAAATTTGAGATTGTGTAAAATGTAAAAGTTACCCAAAAATATACTCTTTTACTTCCATTTATAATTTCCTTCAACAGATCTTCCTTTACATAATAGGTTTTTTAATGCTATAATATATAGTTTGCTATATATTCAAACTCAAATATATATTCAAATTCAAAACTAAGCCTCTTATACTTTAATGACAACTTCAAACAATCTATGCTTTAAAACTTCTTCCAAATGTGTCTGCCATGTCAAATCCTAATTGCATTATACTGGAGAAAGGCTACATCTCAGTCACAAGTAATACAGCATTCAACAGGGAACCAAAAAAAGTAATAAATCGTAAGTTACATACGAAAAAAGGTGAACTGCATCACTCTTCTCTTTGATAAAATCCCTCCTGTATTTCATAAACTCACGTAGAGTGATCAATGGATTTTCAGATATGGCGAACTTGTTGTCAGCTGCCCAGGTTTCCATAGCAACCAATACTATCCTTGTCTTCAGTTGGTCTTTATATATCTGGTATATTAACAAAAGGAATACACCAGCTATTGTGGTAAAATCAAATGATTTATGAACAGGATTATAAAGCTCCTCTTATGAAAACTCTGAGTTCTAGTTTAATGTAAAACACTCTATTGTCTTTAAGGGAGATAATTATTTTTCTAATTCACATGCATTTTCCTTGAGTAACAGAGAGTAAAACTGTTCACAACTAATACCCAAAGAACAGAGGACTAATTAGAAATAAAAGATCACTTTTTTGCACCCTTTTTCAAGGATCTCCCTGAGTCTCTTTTCTGGCACCCTGGAGAAAGAATTCACGCATTCTTGGGTTTCCCAAGAGAAGAATGGAACAGCGAAGACTCCCCTAGGATATAATTTCTATGTAACCCGACTGGTCCCAATTAAACTCATGGAGAAGGTACCCACATTGCCTTGTCAGGCAGAAAGTAAATATAGTAGGATTACTAGTGCATCATTCACACACAACCAGGCACTCTCTTGAAAATAGCACAACCACCTGCTTCTCCAATGTTGGAAGTACACAATGAATATCTTCGTTAAGGACTGGGACTCAACTCTTTATTTTTCAATGTGAAAAATATAAGGAGAAATTTCAAGCATCAATCCATGGGTAACTTTGACCACCTCCTTTTATCATCTTCCCAGCCAGAGATCAAAAACAATAAAGTCCACTGCAAGGTTACTAGGGACTTACATATGGGACACCTTGCCTAAAGTGCAATTCAGAGCACCGAAAATATAAGAACCATATTATCCATTCTGTTAGCAATCAGGAGATGAAATTCCTCTATGGCAATATTGAATCGATTGATACTTACTAAATCCGCCATGTTCACCACAGATTTCGCATATGTATTGGTATGTACAACTGAAAGCCGATGTTTTTTAAACTGAAAGCAAAACAAAACAAAACAAGTGAAGGGCTTCCAAATAATCACTTCAACAGAGAAAACATAGTGTACCTGAAATATCTCTATGGCTTTCTGTAAAAAAATTATAAGAGCTGAGAACTAGTTCTTTATATGCTGTGTAGTCTGAGGAAAGGTTCTTAAGAATCTGAGGCCTCAGTTTACTTAACTGCCAGAGGAAGTAAAAAATACCTATTCCATCCATTTCACAAGTTTATTTTTAACACAGAATTGTTATTCAAAATGATAAAACATATGAAAGTTGTCTATGAATTGCAAGACATACAAACATAAGTCAGGTGGATAGCCAGAAAAAGTGTATGTGAATAGTATGAAATACCATCACGAAATAGCATGTAAAACCTGATTTCTGGCTTCCCTTAAAATTAGCATCCCTGATGGTGATAACTAGCAAGTACTGAGAGGCAGCCACTCCCATTAGACAGGCCATGTATCTTTTCTTTTGCCATAGGCCTCACCCCTCCCTATTGTTTTACATCTGGCTTACTTCATTTGTGCTACCTGCCTACAGATCTCTGCAGGCACCTGAATGTGCGCTATCTTAAAAAAGTCAAAATAATATGTTCTTACAACTTATTCTGATCATGTAAAAATCTCAGGAAACAGTAACATTCACTGACTTCCAAGAGGTTAGAAAGATAAAACTTAGTTCTAGCCTGAACAAAGAAGAACTCAATCTGGATTTTATTATTATTATTATTATTATTATTGGCAACAATAGGTGATCGATGTTTGTTTAATCATATGCAAACAAATGACACATTTTCCCCCAAATAAATCACTCAAAGTAAATTAAAACGCACTTATCCCTGAAATTAAGTAAAATTCAGCAATGTGCATCACGGAACATGTTTAGTTTAAAACTCTGGTTACATAGAGCAATTAACATTATAATTCACTGCTGTGCTGTAAATGTAAGCTACTTCTTGCAACATGCCCATGCACTGAATATACACACTCTGGGTCAAAATAAATGACTCAGCAAGAAGGAAGTTTTGCCAGATTCCTATCCTAAAATCTTCACTGCTTGCCTATATATAAACATTTCCATATGGTTTGTTGCATAGCAGGCCAGAAATTGAAAAACTGCTTTTCTTTTATCAGCATAAAGTTGTATGCTGCAAACTAAAGTGTCCCATTACTGGTGCCTCACTGATTTCTTCAAAATACAAATATTCATTAAGCAAATCCAAAGGGCTAACTCTAAATCAAAGAAATATTTCTGGAATGTCACAAAATACTGCTAGTTCCACCTAACAATGTTTCCAATTTAAAGGTTGTTACTGGCTAACAAAATACATTTGGCTACATACACAAATGTCTTTTCCAAGTTACAATTTTCTGGGTTTCTTGTTTCTTCTAAACATATTTCTGCATCCACCAGTTTTACCCCTTGGCACACACAAGTTCAAACGACAAAAAATTTAGCACATCCTACCATTAGATGATCGTTGACAATCATCAGCTCAATATATTTGGTCTCCTCCTCTATGTTACGAGGCTGTCGACGAAGCTGCAATATGATAAAGGAAATAGCACCTACATAAGCCCCCTGAACTTGGCTGTGGAAAACTAAAAAATATGTTACGTATTATGTTGCATATTATACTGTACCCTTTTTCCAAACACTTGTGATTTCCAACACTCACAGCCCCTGGCAGCCACTTTTCTACTGTTTTGTGAGTTTGATTTTGTTGTTGTTGTTGTTCCACATATAAGTGATACCCTGCAGTATTTATCTTTTTCTGTCTGGTTTATTTCATTTAGCATAATGCCTTCCAGGTTCATCCATGTTGTCACAAATGATAGGATTTTCTTCTTTTCCAAGGCTGGATGAAACTCCACTATATATATATATACACACCACATTTTCTTGATCCAGTCATTTGTTGATGGACACCAACATTGATAACACTGTATTATATAATTGAAATTTGCTGACATAACG